CACACACACACACACACACACACACACACACACACACACACACATAGAGTCACTTAGTTTTAGTGGACCAGTTGTGGCTACATAAATCTTAGAATGTGGTATTTGAGGATTTGAAGATAAGATTTTACATAGATCTTAGAATGTGACATTTGAAGATAAGGTTTTAAAATAGACGAAGTGAATTGCAAACACACACCTGTTTTGAAATTTGGACTTCAACACATGTCTATGAGGATGGCTAGCCAGCAAGGAGGACATCTTGGTGACAGCGACCATTCCTGTGGCATGCCACAAACAGAATTCCACCCACAGGAAAAAGTACTGCTTACTGAACAGGTATTTTCTGTAAGGATAAATCTTTCTGCCAAACCACCCAAGCCCTGCTGCCATGTGGGCGCCCAAAATAACACAGAGACTTATATTAGGTACAGTGCTGCTGGCCAATGACTAGGATTTCTAAATCTATATATTTTATAAAGACTTATGGAGGATGCTGACAGAATTCATCCCCTTTCTGGGATCACATGGCGGCTCCACAGAGAAGAGAGGAGGAGGAAGAGCATGATATCCTGCTTGTTCCTGCTTATATTCTGAGTCGGCCTGCTATGTCACTTCTGCCTGGATCACAAGACTTCTCTTTACTACATTTCCCAGAATCCTCCTTGACTCCTAGTCCCACCTAACTTACTTCCCTAATGGCCAACAGTACTTTATTTATCAACCAATAAGACAAACATACACAGAAGGACCTCCCCCATCAGCTTTCTGTTGTCCATTGTGCTAGTCTATGCATGATGTGACTTTGGCTAAATTATTTATTAGAAAATATCTTGACTTCACTGGTAAGAATCACCACTCTTTATCTTTTGGTTTTTCGAGGCTGAGCAAATATCTGTGGATTACATATGATACTGTGTCTTTTGGGCCTATTCCAATGTATAAGTGGGTCATATGGTTGATTTATTTTCAGCTTTTAGCTTTCTCCATACTGATTTCCATAATGGCTGCACCAGTTTGCAGTCCCACCAACAATGAATGAGGGTGCGGTTTTCTTCACATCCTCTCAGCATTTGTTGCCAGCTGTTCTATTGATCTTTGCCATTCAGACTAGAGTAAGATGAAATCTTAAAATTGTTTTGATTTTCATTTTCCTAATTGTTAGAGATGATGAACATTTTTGAGATATTCCTTAGCTAGTCTTTTCTTCTTTTGACAACCTGGGTCTCGTTTTTTAAATGGGATTTTTTAAAACTGTTTTTTAGTTCTTTGTGTATTCTGGATAGTAACTTCTCTCCATTCTGTGGACTTTCTTTTTCTTTGGGTGACTGTTTCACTAGCTGTGCAGAAGCTTCTCGGTTCATGAAGTCCCACTTGTCCATCATTGTTGGTCTTAACTCTTGTGCAAATGGAAAGGATTTCCTGAATAGAGCGCCTACACCTATATAATGCAGAGTTCTGCCTGTGTTTCCTTCTAGCAGTTCATTGTTTCACATTTAGGTCTTTGATCCCTTTGGAGTTAGTTTTTGCACACAATGTTAGATACAGGACTAATTTCATTCTTCTGCACTGGGCATCCAGTTTTCCCAGCACCATTCATTGAAGATGATTTATTTTTTTCCCAGCTTATATTTTTGGCATTTTGTCAAATATTAAGTGTCTGAAGTTACAGGTAAATTACTTGTGTTTGGGTCTTGGATTTTGTTCTAGTAGTCTACATGACTGTTTTTGTGCCAACACCATGCTGTTTTTATTACTTTATCTCTGTTATATAGTTTAAGATCTGGAACTGTAATTCTAGCATTGTTCTTTTTGCTCAGTATGGTTTTGGCAGCTTGGGATCTTTTGTACTTTCATTTTAGGATAGTTTTTTTTTCTATTGTTGTGAAGAATGAGATGGGGTTTTTTTTTTTTTTTTATTGGGATTTCATTGGATCTGTAGATAGCTTTTGGTAGAATGATCATTTTTACAATGTTAATTCTGCCATTCCATTAACGTGGGATGTCTTTCAGTTTTCTAGCATCTTTATTCCCTTCTTCTACAGTTTTCCTTGTAGAAGCCCTTCACTTCCTTATTTGGTTTATTCTTAGATATTTTATTTTCTTGAGGCTATTGTGAATGGGAGTGTGTTCACGATTTCCTTCCTGTCTGTTTACTGTCGGTGTATAGAAAAGCTATTGATTTTTGCAAGTTGGTCCTGTATTCTGCTAAATTGCTGAATTTGTTTATCATTTCTGGAAGTTTTGGGGTAGAATGTTTAGGCTCTCTCATGTCATCTGCAAATAAGGATAGCTTGAATTCTTTCCCTATTTGTATCCCTTTAATTTCTTTCTCTTGCCTTATTACTTTGAGTACATTGTTGAAAAGGAGTGGGGAGAGTTGGCATCCCTGTCTTGTTCCTGACTTCAGTTGGATTGCTTTAAGCTTTTTTTGTTTTAAATTTTGAATGATGCTGGCTGTGGGTTTCTTATATATAGACTTTACTATGTTTAAGTATGTTTCTTTCAGCCCTACACTCTCCAGGATTTTTATCATGAAGGGACATGTTGGATTTTGTCAAAAGCTTTTCTGTATCTATTGACACAATCCTGTGATTTTTGTCTTTAAGTCCATTTGTGTGGTTTATTACATTTATTGACTTGTGTATGTTGAACCATCCCTGTACTTCAATGATAGAGCTTGATTATGGTGTATAATTTTTTGATGTATGTCTGTTTCCTCCTTGAAAGTTTTTTTTTTTTTTTTTTGGTTATTTTTGAATCTATGTTCATCAGGAATGTTGACCTGTAGTTTTCCTTGTATGTTTACTTCACTTTGGTATTAGAGGAATACTGACTTTGTAGGAGGAAGTTCTCCTTCTGTTTCTATGGTCTTTGTATGGTTTTAAAAGGACTGGTTATAGATCTTTGAATGTCTATAGAATTCTGCTGTGAATCCATCTATCCATGAACTTTTTTTTGTTACTGAAGGCTTTCTATTATCATTTCAGTCTCCTTATTTGATAGGATATGTTTACATTATTGATTTCTTCTTGGTTTAATTTTGGTGGTTTGGCTGAATCTAGAAAAGCTTCAGCTTCTTTAGACTTTTCCAGCTTAATGGAGTACATTTTTACAATATTACCTTCTAATATTATGAATTTCTTTGGTGTCTGTTGTAGTGTTTCCCTATTCTTTTCCAATCCTGTTAATTGAATTCTCTTTTGTAGGTTGGGCCAATGGTCTGTCAATCTTGTTTATCTTCTCAAAGAACCAGCTCTTAGATGTGTTGATTCTTTGTATCATTTTCTTTGTTTCTACTTTATTGATTTCTGCTCTGATTTTAATTATTTCTGTGGTCGGAGTTTAGATTTGGTTTGTTCTTTTTTTTTTTTAAACCAACTTTTTGAGTTGTATCATTAAATCATCTATTTGTGTTTTTTTCCCTGATATTTTAATGTAGGCACTTAGAGACACAAATTCCCTCACAGGACAGTTTTCAAGGTGTTCCAAAGGCTCTGTGCCAGAGGTTTTGTTGTGCTGTGTATTCATTTGGTTCCAGGAAGTTATTTCTTTCTTGATTTCTTTGACCCATTCATTGCTTAGTAATGAGTTGACTCATCTCCATAAGTTTGTATATTTACTAGTTTTTGTTGTTGTTTGCTATCAATTTTAAGTTTTATTGTGTTGTGTTGAGGTAGAATACAGGAGTGCTTTCAATCAGTTTGAATCTGTAAAGATTTGTTTTGTGTCCCAGGATGGTAGATATTTTAGGGAGGTGTCTATGTCCTGCTAAGTAGAATGTGTGTGCATTGTTTAGTGTTTGGATAGAATATTCTGTAGGTAACTGTTAAATCCATTTGCTACACAGTGTCGATTACTCCTGATGTTACTATATTTTTCAGATAACCCATCTATTGGATCACCTACTATTAATGAATTGATGCTAGTCCGTGTCTTTCAGTAGTAGATTTTTAAATGAAATTGGGTGCCTCTGAGTTTGGTGTGTATATGTTTAGGAGAGTAATGCCTGCTTGGCTACCTGTACTCTTGGTTAGAATGAAGTGTCCCTCTTTGTCTTCTGATTAGTTTTAGTTTGCAGTCTATTTTGTCAGATAATTAGGACAGCAATACCTGCTTGCTTCCTGGTCCTATTTGAATGGAGCTCTCTTGTCCATCTTTTTACTCTAAGGTGATGTCTATCTTTAAAACTAAGATGTGCTTCTTGTAGGCAGCAGATGGATGGATTTTGTTTCTTGATCAATTCAGCCAGTCTGTCTTTTGATTGGTGAATTGAGGGTTCTCAATGGTATTTAGTCTTTTAATAATTATGGCTTTCTATTTCTTTCCACAGCCCCATTCCTCTCTTCAACGCAAAATAATGCTGGTATTTGACTTAGATTTGGTTTGTTGGACATGAATTTTCTTTGTTGGCTATCATCGTCTTTTAGGCCTTGGAATGCATTGCTCTTCTGGATCTCATACTTTGCATTGGAAATCAGCTGTTATTCTGATGGGTTTCCTTCTGTGTGCCACTTGTGTTTCTTTCTCTTGCAGCTTTTAATACACTTTCTTTGTTGTGTATGCTTGGTGTTTTTATTATGACATGCTATGGGGACTTTCTTTCTCATCTATGTGGTGTGCTGTGTTTCTTCTTCTGTCTCTGTGTTTTCTTCTCTGATCCTGTTGAAGGATCCAGTCCATGGCATTGACTTGGGATTATTCTCCCTTATCTATGCCTATAATTTGAAAGCTAGTTTTTTTCATAGTGTTTCACCTTTCCTTTATGTTCCTTTCCTGTGTTAAAAAAGACTTATGCCCCTTGTTTATTTCATCTACACCCTCTATTTTATCCTTGCGACCCATTATTCTGTCTTTTGCTTGAGTCGTTCTACTTGTAAAGCTTTCCTTTGGGTTTTCTAGTTGGGCTGTTGTGTTTTTCTTCAATTCCATCTTCATTTCTGCTTGAGTCCTCTTCTGTGTTTCTATCTCTTGACTGAGTTCTGTTCTCAAGTCTTGGGTTGTCTTTCTCATTCCATCAACCTTATGTTTGTGTTTTCTTGGGCATCGCTCAGGCATTTGTCATCCTTAAGTTCTTCCTCTTTGCTTTCATGGAGCTGTTTCTTTGCATCTTCTTTAACCACCTGACCTGGATCTCATCTAGGCAGGTCACCTTGCAAACATTTCTCCAGGACTGGTAGTCTGAGACAAGATGCTGGTTTGCTCTTTCATGTTGCTGATATTCTTGTGATGAGATCTGGGCATGTGCAAAGGGTGAGTCCTCCTGTGGGCTGCTGGTTGGTGGAAAGAGAACAACTAGAAGTGGCTCATGCCTGTAGAGGCTGAGGCAGGAGGATTGCTATGAGTTCAAGGTTAGCCTGAGCTTCAGTAAGACCCTGTTATGAAAATCTTTCTACCTAAACTCCAAGAAACCTCAAGCTTCAGAAGCAGATCACTCAATAGACCTACAGATCTTAGGAAGCTAATTCATTTCATGCATGTCAGGGGATTGGAGAAATGGTTCAGTGGTTAAGAGCTTTGGCTCTTCTTCCAGAGGTCTGGGGTTCAATTCCCAGCACCCACATAGTGACTCACACACAACTGTGTGTAACTCCAGTTCAAGGGTATCCAACACCATCATATAGACATGCTTGCAGGGGAAACACCAATGCATATAAAATACAATTAAATACATTATTTTTAAAAGAAGAAAATGTTAAAATGTATATTGGTCATCAATATATGTACTTGAAGAAAATTTCCATTGAAAGATATTTATATGCACATTGTGGAAATTCTGATACTGATTTCAAATATATATGTGTGTGTGTGTGTGTGTGTGTATCTTGGTTTTAAACTTATTAATTTAACAAGGCTTTACTTCTTGATATTCCTCTCAGTAAAATGTAGTTTATGTAAATGTTTCAGGAAAGAATTGGCAAGGAGGATCTTGACTGTGGGAGGTAAGCAGTGTTTAGAATGTTAAATGCTTACAATATTGGGCATTAGGAGATGCATGGGGATTCATTCATGCTTCATTTGGAGATAGGAATTAAGATTTTGCTTTTACTTCTGGGAGATTCTGGCCTGCTGAAAATCATAACAGTTAATAGACACCTACTGGCCAGTTTTGTCACATTTTAGTGTCTCACTAAATGTGCTTTAATTAAAATTATTTTTTTATGTAAAAGCCTTCAGAGTCACAGATAAAGCCCTCTATGTCCGTGTCCCCACTTCCTGTCTGTCACTCAGAGTTCTTTTCATTCTCAAACATTTTTATCTGCGTAATAATTACATGATTGTTTCATAGATTTAAAAACATTAGGTGACTGCTACCTTGTCAGCCATTGGATTACACCCCTCTTTTCAGTGTTTGGGTTCTGGGTATAGCTCAGCTGGTAGAGTGCTTGCCTAACATGTACAAAGCTCTGGGTTTTAGCCCTAGCTCCCCACAAACGAGGTGTGGTGATACAAGTCTATACTCCCAGCACTTGGGAGGTGGGGATGGAGAATCAGGAGTTCATGGTTATCCTTGGCTACATAGTGAATTTGAGTCCATCCTGAACTACAACAGGACCTTTTTTTTTTTTCCTTTAAAAAAAAGAATTATTTGGTATTTGAGTATATAGTGTAGCTGTAGTAAAATACTGTAACTTTAATGAGATTTTATTTTTGTTGTACAACTGTTTTCAGGCTATTTTCTCTGACTTGATATTTTAATATACTTTAAATATAAAACCTAAAAATATGTGTACACATATATAAGCATATATGTACATATATATTTAATATTACTTGGGGGTTGAGCTCAGCTCCTTGTACATACTAGGCAAACATTCTACAACTGAACAATATTCCCAAAAATAGTATTTTAGAGATGTTCTCTATCTGAAACTGTTCATATTTCCCCCTAGCAATCCTTTAGTATACTTTTGGATGGTCATAATGACTCTGAATGCATCTTGTTGCATTTCCCTGAGTGCCTCAGCCCTAGACCAAATGCTGACTTTAAATATTTTATTCTTTGTCACGTTGTCTGCTGTGTTGTGAATCTCTAGATTATAGCCAGCAGGTTGCTCTATCAGAGGCATTGTGTAGGATGGCTGTTGGAACACTGAGAAATGAGCTTGCTCTTCAGTGGTTTGATGACAAAGTCCTGGCTGAAGCTTTCAAAGAAATTAGGAACCGGGAATTTGAGACGGTGAGAATTCTGGTCATAAGAGTATTTAGTGAGGTTCCTCTCAGAACTTTGCTGTGCTGTAGGCTTAGGGGAAGATTTAATTTTCTTAAGGAAGAAAAATTTTTTCATTGTGTGTGTGTGTGTGTGTGTGTGTGTGTGTGTGTATGTATGTACGGGTACGGGTGTGTGAAGAAGTTTGTGTATGAGTGCAAACGCTGATGGAAGCCAGAAACTGGTGTTGTAACCTGGAACTGGAGTTACAGGCAGTTGTGAGCCTCTTGACAGAGGCGCTGGGGACCACAGTACTACATAGCAGTACATGTTCTTAACTCCTGAGCCATCTTCCCAGCCCCTCACTATCTAAAGTATGATGGGATCGCAATCTTAACTTTCTGTTTCCCCACATCAGTGAAGGAATTTGAAAATGATATAAACAAGTATTTGGGGAACATGTGAGAAGGTACGGATAGGGCTTCCTTAGAGGGAACTGATCAGGAGACACTGTAAATTTTCTAGGTCCCGCAAGGAAAACATTTGGAAGCAGGTAGAGGTTTTGAATGGCTCTTGAAGAGTAGGGATACAATTGGAGAAGAAAGAGCAAAGAATTGGAACCTTGAAGAGAGAAGCTGTGACCGCTGCAGGTGGCTGGCATCAGCATTCACGCTCTAGTGGTGAAGACCTTAGAGTGGTTATGCTGTGTGCCACCTAGCGGCTGCAGTTGGAAGCACAGAGATTGGTGGTTGGGTCTTTGTTTTGTGAAAGTTTAGCTGACTGGGATTGTTCCTAAGGAGCACAAAAATAGCTCTCAGCTTTGTTGTATATCTGCCTTCTCCTACAATTGCTAATGCATTTTCTGTATTATTTCCAAAATATCTTTAAATTAGGGTTAGAGTCCCAGGAAAGGGTAAAATTCATCTCAAGTGTTCATTCTAATGAAGCCTTCTAATCAAACCCTCTGTGTAACTGGGATTATTACATGCTTCACATTGTGCTAAATTTGAATCTTTATATTGTGTATCTTAGACAATTCACAGAAGATGTTTAGCCAGGTTGCAGTATGTTATAAATGTAAAGGTCATGATTCCAGGCTTCTTTTGGCCAACTTGAGTTTGAATTTTACCTCAAATTAGAGTTCCACCTGCCTGACTCAAGCGATGTTTGCAAATGTAAACAAGGTGAGGACTAGTGAAATCTTAGTATTCATCTGCAAAGTGGGATCAATTCCACCTTAAAATGAGGAGTTTCTTAGTGTTACTATTGCTGTAATGAAACACCATGACCAAAAGCAACATGGGGAAGAAAGAAACCACTTATTTGGCTTATATATCCCGAATCACAGCTCACAGAGGGGAGCCAAGGCACGAACTCAAGCTAGGCAGGAACCTGGATGCAGAAGCTGATGCAGAGGCCATAGAGGGTGCTGCTTACTGGCTTGTTCCTCAAGGTTTATTATAGCACATAGTACCACTAGCCCAGTGGTGGCACAACCCAAAGTAGGCTTGGTCCTCCTACCTCATTCACATATTAAGAAAATCCCCTACAGACTTGCCTGCAAAATATTTGAGAGACATGTGGAAAGATAAATATAGGGCTTCTTTAGAGGAAACCGAGCCAGGAGACAAGCTGAAAATTTGATGGGTCTTATGGAGGGAATTTCTCAGTTGAGTTTTCCTTGTCTAAGATGATTTCAGCTTATGTCAACCTGATATAAAACTATCCATCACAAGGAAAATTCATGGAGAGAAAACAAGAATCCCTGGGATGATGTGGGCAACCAGACACCCCTTATCTGTCTCTGCAGATGATGAAAACAGAGTAAATTATCTCATTTCCAAAATCGTCTCTGCAACTACCTCCTGGGTCCATCAGCTTCTCTATCGAGTTGATTTTAGATGAAAGTCTTATGCTGCTCATGTCTATTTAGGGCCAAATATAGATGTGAAGTGTGAGAAACATTTGCCTACAGCAGCCAGTCCTTGGAAACAAAAATAAAGATAAATCTGGACCCATGCCTCGTTGTCCTCAGAATGTCAGGGCAGTGGATTCAGTGTCATGATGACTGTTGCTTAGGAGAATTCTAGAGGCATTTCTTGTTCTTGGAGTATATGGCATAGATGACCTGGTCCACATGATTCACCCTGCTGGGTCCTCCCAGCAGTTAGAGCTGGGGAAGGGCCGGTCCAGCAGGTCTCTTCCCTGGGCTGAGTGGGATGGTAGGTGTCTACAACTCAGACCCTCCCCCGTCCTGGTTACCGGGAGAAAATACACACAGAGTCAGGAGATTTGTCGAAGCAGGATCTCGATTTATCCCAATAGGCACGAGCTTATATAGGGCTGAGGTAGGGGATGGGAATCTTAGGATGGGGTAAGGAGACATGAGGAGTTAGGGCCAATAATTTTCCACCAAGCTGGCAGGTATCTATCTACACAGGGGGCAGTCTTACATCAGGCCTTGTTGAGTCACTCCCATGTGGGGGTTACAGGCCAGAGACAGGTCGCCAAACTCTAGCCAGGCTCAGGAGGTTACACTGGGCCTTGCATCTGAGCCTTTTTTAGGCCCAACATCACCCAAAGTAAATAGGTTGTGTATGGCTTGTGCTAGGCAGGTACCGGGAAGTGTGTGCTAGATCAGTTGGTTAAATACTGGGCTCTAACTCATCAGTGAGGTCTGTTTTTCTTGCCCACTCCTTTGCCCAAATGAATCTCTCACACATTGACTTGTGAGCCCTGAGTATTCCTCAGCTGGGTAGGCAATACTAAGGGCACGAGGAGGCACGCTCACAGCCTTCTCTTTGGGCACAAAGCATTGCTGATGTAAAGCAGTGTATCCTTGTGAAGATTTAGGTCAGTTGGGAAGGTAATCAAGAAAAGTGTGCTCTTAAATTTAAGACTTGCATTGCTTGTTTTAGGACTGTCGGCAGTTTCTCAATTTCCTGAATGACAGACTTGGTGACGAGAGAAGGTAACAAGTGTCTTTGGGATTATTGTATTTGACTAATTATAATCTGATATTGTTTGGTGCTTAAAAGAATATCTAGGATCTTTCTAATTTTAAGAGACTATAGGATCAACTAAGTGGCTAATTAGAAATTTAGGAAGACCCTGGTATAATGGCTCACAACTATAGTCCTAGTAAACAAGAGGCTGAAGTGGGTGGGGTTTTGTTTGTTAGTTTTATTTTTTTCAATTATATATATATATGAGTGTTTTACCTTTATGTATGTATAGCAGATGTGTGCCTGGATGGCATTTTATCTCCTGGAACTGGAGTTATAAATGGTTCAATGTGGGTGCTGGGGACTTGAACTCAGGTCCTCTCTGAGAGCAGCAAGTGCTCTCAACCCCTGAGTCATCTCTCCAATCCTAAGATTTCCTGGAATTTCTTTTTTTTTTTTTCCAAGACAGGGTTTCTCTGTGTAGCTTTGGGAGCCTATCCTGGCTCTCTCTGTAGACCAGGCTGGCCTCGAACTCACAGAGATCCAGAGTTCCTGGAATTCTTGAAGAGTAATTTTAAGAAGACTAAAGGAGCTCAAGGATAGGCATATCACAGACAGGTGTGTGATGAGACAGTATTTGCTAAGTTCACTCTGATCTCTAGGATTTGGATCAGGTAATTTTTCTGAAATGGGTGCTAATAACCCTGACTTAGAAACTGCCTGCTGGAGAGGAGATGGCTCCCCACAGTGGGTCTCTATTTGCCGAGTTGTAGCCCTCTCATATCCTGTGTATAGGGTATTTCCCAGCATGCCACAGTCATGAAAACTCATTATAAGGCGTCTGCAGGTCATTTTGATTTTTAATTGTGAGGTGTTTTGCAGGGTCTATTCATTCCCATGCTTGACTGCTTTTGCTGATGATCAGGAGGTAGGCCTGTCTGTCTGTCTGTCTGTCTGTCTGTCTGTCTGTCTGTCTGTTCTCCTTCTCCAAAGATTCTAAAGGGTGTATGAATGAAACTCTATTAGGTTTATACAGTTATGTCCGACCTGCTGCCAGTACTCTAAAGGGCCACTTACTTTGTGTGTGTGTGTGTGTGTGTGTGTGTGTGTGCGTGTGTGTATGCATGTGTGTGCACATGTACTCAAGCACTCCCCTGTGCATGTATGTTCATGAATACACATGCATACATGTAGAGGCCAGAATAATCCTGGGTGTCATTCCTCAGGCACTGGGCACTTAGAGGCCTTTAAAAAAGAATGCTAATTTCTCTTAGTGACTCCACCTTCAAACTGATCTGATTGCATCGTAACCAGGATGCATTTTCGGAAAGCTCAAGGGTCTGTGGCTGTACTGGGAGAAAGGATTTCAGAGTTCAGACTGTCTGGAAGTATCAGACTCTTGTTTCATTTTCCCTGTTCGCAGGAAACATTGCTCATGTCTGAACTAGAAAGCAGAGAGTCAAGGTTCTCTCATTTTTCCCCTTACAGTTGATACTCTTCCCTCTTTTTCTAGCAACTGGGCCACTTTCCTGTCCCTGTACTTTGTGCTTTATAGCACAAGACACATGGTACAAGCGACCTTTCTGAGCTGTGTGCCATGTGGCTCCAGCACTGTGGCCCCCGTGTTTGCTTCCACTCTACCGTATACACTGGAGTCTAAGGCTAACCAGTTTCTCTTCCCATCTTCGGTTTCTAGAAGAAAGGGCTCCAACCAATAGCATCACAATTTCCAGGTGAAGTGCACGAATTTACCCAGAACCATGACTCAGCTGAGATTTCTTGAGTGTTTTCAATCATTTCACTGTCACGGGTTCAGAGACCCCCTTCACGGTTTCTGGAGCTGAGTTTCTCAACTTGCAACACACCCAAAGTTCCTTCTGTCCACAGCTGAATTTGATGAATGAATGCTTGCCTGTCATGTCTTTCTCCTTCTCTGCCTGCCCTAAGATTTCATTACCTGTGTGGTTGTTCTTGCCAGGGCTTGAAGGCTTCCATCTGCTTAAATCCTGGCTCTTACACTCCAGTCATGCACTAGCTTTTCATGTCAGTGTTGAGGGGAAAACCCTCCCTCAGCTCTGTAGCTGCTGTGGTAAGCTGGAATGGTGGGAAGGAAAAAATGTCTAAAGAATCCTATTCAATAGAAAGGTGTTAGAGAATAGTAGGTCTGGTGTTTGATCCAAGTCTGGGGGAATAAAGGCATAATACTTAAGGTTGACCAATCTAATGCAGAGAGTCTGAAATGCTCCAAAGTCCCCGACCTACTGAGTGCTCCATGGCATCAAACTTCAGAGCTTACTCAGAAGAGGACCTGCCTTACATGCAAGAAGATGGGAGTTTAATCCCTAGAAATCATCCCATTGTTTTTAAAGCTAGGAGCTGTAGTACCTACTTGTAATTCCTTGCCTGACGGGGTGGAGATGGGAAGATCCCTGGACTCACCCAGCTAGAACTTAGGGAAAACTGGGCCAGGATCCTGTCTGAAAAATAGAAAGGTGGGTGACACTCGAGGTTCAGCATCCAAGGTTGTCGTCTGGTTTCTGCACACATGTACATTCACCCACCACACACACAAACATATAAAGGGAAAAGTCTGATGGGCCATGGAGATGACTCATTGAATAAAGGGATTTGTGCCAAATTCAATGACCCAAGTTCAGTCCCTGAGTTATGCCTGGTAGGAAAAACTGACTCCTGCAAGTTGTCGTCTGACCTGTACATATATGCCATGACACGCACTCATGCACATACAAGTTCACAATACAGTGTAAAAGAAACTTAAAATGTCCCACAACTGTCTTCATGCAAGGCACAGGCAAAACACAAGTAGACTTAAGTTACTGTATAAAATTCCCTTCAGACGGTTGAGTGTCAGTTTCCTGTCTGAGCAAGTTCATTCCCCATTTTGTACATGCCAACATTGCACAGTCAGAACTGCTCTGGTCTATGTATTTCAGATGAGTGGTGCTCAGCCTGGTCTCCCTGACATTTGTCTAGTAAGCCTCTGGGGAGGATTAAGGGCATCGCTAATAGATTCTCTGGACAGATGCCTGTGGGGAGTCGGGCAGAGAAGACATCTACTCTTTCCAGAACATCACATTGCTTGAATCCTTGATTTTCACTCTAAGTATGTCTTTATTTTGTAATGATAAAAACACAAGTAATTTGAGCTCAAGTGTTAGCTGTTCTCTAACTGATGGTCAGCTGGACACCAAATTGTCACTAGTTTGCTCACAGTATCTTTCTTTTTTTTTTTTTTTTTTTTTGCTAGAAGTTTCCATCTCTATTCAGTGTGGTTTACTACCGTTTCAGCACAAAACGGGTTCCTCCTACCCCCTTGATTTTCACCAAGAAAAAAAAATAGTGTGGATAGAGTTGTGTGACACAGTTAAATATTAAGTATTGAGGACAATAGGATCTTCCCAGAAATGGAGCGTGAGACTGAGACCCAGTTGCTGATTTGCACAGGATTCGGGTACTAGGAACTGCTGGTAGTTCTGCTCCAGGATGTTAATAATTTCAGTCACACCCTTTGATACGAGATTCCTGCATAACTTGCTGAAATTCTCCCACAGATGAGAAAACCAGCAGATGAAAAATTAGAGGAATTTTGGATTGATTTCAACCTAGGAAGTCGAAGCGTGACTTTTTACATAGACAGCAGAGAGGTAACTAGCATTCATCTCCCAGCAGCCCTGCGCATTTAGGAAATCTTTGTATAAATACTATTGCACATTCTATTATGCGCTCATTATTTTTACTCTGTCTTTTCCTCAAGAGTGCTCTGTGGGAACCAGTACAGCTCTCAAAGGAGGCAGTGGTCAAGTTTAGTGCAGTGGGTAAGTGATATACACCTTCCCTCAGAACTTCGTGCTGCTTCTGTTGATGTTACAGTTTTTAGTTAATTCTAGAATGCATTTTGATCATGTTCTTATCTGGCATCTCCTTTTCTAATTCTTTATTTAAAGATTTATTATTTTTATTTATAAGTTCATGTCTGTCTGTGTCCAGGAACACGTGTGTGTACGGGTGCCCACAGAGACTAGAAGAGAGTGTCAGATCTCCTGGAGTTGGAGTTAGAGGTTTGTGAGCCACCTGATGTGTGGGTGCTGGGAACTGAACCTGGGTCCTTTGGAAGAATAGAATGAGCTCTTGACCTTTGAGCCATCTCTCTAGACCCAGAAGAGAGGATTCCCTGAATGGGAACCGATCCCAGCCTGAGGTGGCCAGAGTGCCAATCCTAACCACTAGACCACCAGGGAGTGTTTGAATTTTCCTACTGGTCTCATTAAATGAAAGAGTGGGTTAGTCTCAATTTGCAATTTAACTGACTCTTTGAAAGACATTAGCATGTAATTAATATAAAAATGGTTGTGCTGTGTGTATGTTCAGTTTTTCTGTTTTATGTTCTTACCTGTGTTAGATCTTTACAGTCTTTTGGGGGTGCTGTACTGGCAAGTCATGGTAGTTTGTGTTAGCCAATGGTTTCAAGTGGGCTGCTGTCTTGATAACCCAGGTTCATCCCCCTTTCTCCTCTTTCTTTTTACCTTGGTGTAGGTATAGGGCTCTTAGGTTTGTCCACTCTTTCATGATCTTTCTGTTCTCTCTAGCTTCTACCTACTTTGTACTTGTCATGTTATTTTTTTCCTGGAGACTGAATTTTAATCTTGATGTGTTATTTTCAGAAATCAACTGCTCAATTGCCAGTAGTATTGTGGAAGCAACTGTTGTCTGAGACCCAGACAACTGAAATGGATATTAGCATATTGGAAACTGAATTTTAGGATTATGTGTGATTCCAGAGAGAGAGAGAGAGAGAGAGAGAGAGAGAGAGAGCAGAGCCAGGGAGAATTTTTCTTAGTATATTTTCTTAGTAGAAAATTTTCTTAGCATAAAATACCTGTTATATAACAAAAATTCTCTCATAAAAACATTGAATAGTGTCATTCAAGATGGTACTTATTTCTTTAGCAGTAAAACAAGATCCTTCATGTTTTCAAATAATCGGCTTCTAAGTCACATGTTTTGTATATATGTAAATACAAGTTTTGAAGTCATTTCTGTTTAACATGACTTTACCTTCTCATTGCAGAAAATTCTGAACAGTTGACAAAAGCTTTCATTATACTAATATACCTGATATAACACATCTTTCTGTCAGAAAGTGATAGGATGAAGATATTAATCATTTACCTGAAAGAGTCGATTATCATCAGCAAGAAAGAAGCAAAGATAATAGAAATCCACTTCGACAGGCAACTCGGCATATCGCAAGCTTCAGTTCGCGCTTTGGGAGAAGATGAACAGGTGGCAGCTTTCTCTCTCTCTCTCTCTCTCTCTCTCTCTCTCTCTCTCTCTCAATCCCTCTCCCTCCTCTCTTTCTGATTTTTTTTTTGAGAAAGAGTTTCTCTCTGCTGCCCTGGCTATCCTGGAACTCACCCTCTAGACCAGGCTGGCCTTGAACTCACGGGGATCCACTTGCCTCTTGCCTCCCAAATGCTGGGATTAAAGGCCTGCTCTACCATGCCCAGCCTCATTCCCTCTGATTACTTGACAATGTGTTTTCACATCTCTTCAGTCTCCATGTTGGACTTTGATGCATCCTTTGGTCAAGAAGAAGACTCGAGAGTTCTGGGTTTTAATCCCAACTCTCCCTTGTGTGTCGTGGTCTTAAATGTGCAGGACACAAAAGTTCCTCGTGTCTTGAAATGAATTGTTCCATCTACTGTGGGCAGAGTGCAGTTTGTCTGAGGCATTGCCACATCCCTACAACACTGCTGAGGAGAACTGCCAGGCTTCTTGACCCTTCCTCCTGGCCCTGGGGGATTGAGCAGGGGTTTTCCCCACTCTGCACTGGTCTTTTCTGATAGGAATGCCCTGCACCTGCCCTGGAAATCTTGACCCCCCTTTTTCCTACCCACGCATAAGGGTGCTTTTCCATCACAGAAGTTGGCAAAGTAAAGAAATTTGCAACAAAAGGACATACAGTAACAGACAACAGGGGCTGAAAGGAAGGTCAGAGGAAGGGAAGACACAAGATGAGGGAGGGAGTCTCGGCTGCCTTCCCTTTGTTTTCAGTTATATATTAGAGCATCTTTCAGTGGTAAAGTGCTCTGCAGGTATAGTTCCCATGTCCTGCCCAGAGGGTGAGGTGACGGTTCCCAGCATCCTATAGAAAGCAATGAGGTGAGGATTCCCATGATCCTACACAATGAGATGAGGTGAGTGTTCCCATGGTTCTACACAATGAGATGAGGTGAGGGTTCCCGTGGTCCTACACAATGAGATGAGGTGAGGGTTCCCATGGTCCTACACAATGGGATGAAGTGAGGGTTCCCGTGGTCCTACACAGGGGATGAGGTGAGGGTTCCCGTGGTTCTACAGAAGGGCGATGAGGCGAGAGGCATGGAATACTAACCACTTAGGAAAAAACCCTCCTCTATATTGTTAAAGGACAAATTGGCCTGGCGTGCTAGATTCGCCTATACTTGTGAGGACCACCGAAATCACGGACATTTTCACATTTCCCAGTATGAATAAGACAGTTTCTGTCTGCATGGGACAGAGCCACAGTTCCTGGAGTAGGAAGCCCTGTGAGGAAAGGGGGCGGGGAATGGGATGATCATGTGATTGGGTGCTCATTGCATACTCACACTAAGAGAGAGCCACATCCCTGTTCCGAGCGAGCAAAGCATGGATTAAAACTCACCCAAGAGTTCAGGAAGACTTGAGCAGGAAGAATAGAGGGGGGAGGTCTTACAGCCTCAAACAATCTTGAAGCCCCACCCACATGCCCAGCCCCGCCTCCTAAAGGTTGTGCTCTCAGAACTACTGCACTGGGGAGATGGTTTCTAACATGCAAAATCTGAAGAGCACGTTCAAGCCATGACAGATAATCGATGCATTAAGACCATGAGAGTGCGACGAAGAGCAAAGCAACAGAGAGCCAGAGATGGTCCTAGAAGGTGGTGGTTGAGGGATGGGGGTGGGTGGGTATTAAGCATTGTAAGCCAGAAAGAGCAACAAGCAAAAGAAGATGGCAGAGACTCAGCAGGCTCCCTAATTTATCAACGTGCTGGGGGCTAGCTTTAAAACCTTTTCTTTAAAAGGCATTGGAAAGTTACATGGCCTTGGCTTTCATTTCAGACTCCTGTTTTGACAAAAGTCTCTCCTGAGTTTGAAAAAGAAGATGGTAAGATTCCTAGTAGCCACGAAAGTGAAACAGGTATGCTGAGAAGTGGCAGAATTCCAACTTGAAATTCCCTGTAGAAGCCTGAGGGTGCCTTGGAAGAGGTCCGCACACGCTGAGCTGGTCAAGCAACAGCATCCCATGAGGGCGGATTGTAGCCTTGAAGCTCCTACTCCATCTGTGAATGTCCTCTTTGGGGACAGAGCTGGAAATGACCTAGAAGAACAGATGCTGGGGGTGGCGGGAGGTGGGACTCTGCAGGGCCCTGACTGCTGGCACAAAACCTCTTGAATTTCAATTTCAAGTGCCTTAGCATTGGTTTTGAGATTTGAGGCACAACTTCACTACCAGCTTTTACCACAAGGTGGCGATATACCATAGCCATGCTTTCCTGGAGAGTAAGGACAGAGTGAGTGTCTGCTCGGCCCGTGGAGGTTATCGTTTAGATGTTCTTTTTCTCATTAAATACAGAGCATGCAGAAGAATCCACAATCCTGCCAGGGTTCGTGGGTGATGACGATGACCTCGTGGATGATGACGACGACGACCGTTGCCTAATAACTCGCAGCTTTGATGTTCAGTCAGAGCCTGCTGTGAGTAAAAGAGGCTGGGAAAAGATGGTTGGGGATTTGTGGCCCCCAGGATAGACAAGCACTTCCTCTGTTGAATGCTAGCCCGTTTTCTTTTCAACAGCTGTCTGCCATTAATTTGTCTGTCCCCCTCTTCAGATTGTCTCTGTTCATTGAACATGGCTGTCCCATGAAATGCCTGCCTGGACTGGTCTCTGATTTGTCTCCTCATTTGGGCTCTGCAGAAAACTGTCTGCAAACTAATGTAGGGACGGAGCCTCATGTTGAGGGTCAGAGGTGGTTTCCCTCCCTGGCTGAGGGCATATGGACCCGTTGACTCATACTGTTCTTCTTGGGGCTTGGGATCTATCAGTCAAGGTGTCCTAGTTAGGGTTTCTGTTGCTGTGATGAACCACCATGACCAAAGCAACTTGGAGAGAAAAGTTGTTTGGGTTATTCTTCCACAGCACTGTTTATCACTGAAGGAAGTCAGGACAGGAACCCAAACAGGGCAGGAACCTGGAAGTAGGAATTAGGATACAGAGGCCATAGAGGGGTGCTGCTTACTGGCTTGCTCGTCATGTCTTGTTCAGCCTGCTTTCTTCTAGAACCCAGGAACACCAGGCCAGGGATGGAACTACAGAAAGTAGCCTGGGTCCTCCGCCATCAATCACTAATTAAGAAAATTCCCTACAGGCTTGCCTGTAGCCTGATCTCCCTTCTCTCAGATGACTCTAGCTTTTGTCAAGTTGACATAATGCCAACCAGCACAGGAGGTGACATCTAGCACTTAGGTCTGCCCTTAGTAGGATTTAAGAATGGGTGCTAACTTATAGATTGGCTGGGGCAAGAAGGGCTGGTGTGTTATTTCACAGCAAGGTAACTGGGTAATAATAATGCTAGAAGAAAGGATTTGGGGTGGTTTCATTATAAAGAAAGTGATAAATGTTTGAGGACTTATGTTTAGCGTGACTTGTCAAGCTTTTCACAATGCAGACAATGGGGCAAAATCTTAAATGACACATCAGACATGTGCAGTTGTATTTGCGAGTTTAAAAATTAAGACTACAGCACACCCACGTGGTTTATTTAGACATTTTCCTCGTTTCCTCACGTCAACACATGGTACGGAGGGTGACTGATAATGGTGTCAAGCATTTTCATGTTTGAAAGTCAGAGATTATTAGTCTTTCAGGTAAATTGTCACCTTTTAATGTCACCGTTTAGGTGCCTTGGGAAGTTGAACCCTTGCCCCTAGTGCGGAAGCTCCTGCAGATACCCTTGTAGTGTTTTCTCTGGACCAGTGACATATCATGGGCATCTTTGGTAGTAGCAAGTCCTTGCTTGTGATTTGCAAGTGGAAGTTTTGGAACAACAGAGCCATTGGGAGTCAGTTGTGTTCAGCTGCTCTTCAGAGCCAAAGTGGGTCCCAAAGGCTAGAGACCAAGGTTTCCCTGATACCATACTAACTTCTTTTACCTTGCAGCAAACAGATACAGAAGACAGTTCACATGAAAAATCAAAACCACAAGATCCCAAACAAGGTACGGAGAGTCTTCTCCACAGTCACTAAGTGATCTGTTTAAATATTTGTCCAAGATGCTTACTGTCATTTTATTTTTAACTTTTGGTCCCCAGAAGTTACTTCAAAACACAAGTATCCTTCAGATATGCAAGAACCATCAACTCAAACTCAGGCTTCTAAATTAAATGATACAAAGTAAGTGATTTTTATCTTTACCATATTTATTTTGTTTTTTAGTTGCCATGGTAATTGTACAACTTGATGCTTCTAAGCCTGTCTGTATCTGCAGTAAGCTGCATGTTTATGGAGACATTGTGAGGCAATCAGCATAGTAATTGTCATGTTTATGGGAGATAGGGTGTTTTTTTTTCCATACAAGTACCAATTGTGTAACATATTGGCATATTCTTCTGAAACATTCTTCATCTCTGTGTAGTGAGAGCATTTGGCAGCCTCTTGTTATTTTTAAAATGGACACTACAGTGATGTTGACTGTAGCTACCCTGATATGAAGCCAACATCAGGACCATCCCTCACGTCTAGCTGTAATTATGGACCAATTGTACCCCATCACACCCTCTCACCTAGATCCTGGAGACCACCATTTTCTCTCCCCCTCCATGGGTCAGACTGTGCAGATCCCACCTGACAGTGAGGTCACACAGTTCTTGTCTTTGTCTACCTGGTTTATTTCAATTAGTGTTGTTTTCCAGTGTCACTCAGGTTGAGAACTTCAGGATTTTATTCTTGGTGGCTGAGCAGTATTCCAGTGTGTATATATGTACCATGCTTTCTCTATCTGTTCCTCTTATGGCAAACGTTCAAGCTGATTCCCCATCTTGGCTATTGTAAAACTACAGAACCACACATATGAGCATGCTGGCAGTTTAGAGTTTTCCATTTTTCCTAACCCGACCATTCCAATCTAAATTCCATATAAAGTTTCCTATAGAACATTCTGAGCTGCATTGGCAAACTCTCCAACTCCGCAGCCCCCTGCAAGCATGTCTTCTGGGTTTCCTTTAGCAATGTATTTTTGTGCTGAATTTTAGATTAAACACAGGGTCAGTGTACAAAACTGAGGCTTCTCTTCTGTTTGAAACACAAAGCAGAACCATTTGTAACAGCATTAGGACAGGATGTTCTTAGGTATTCATTTGCAGGGTACTATTAGAACACAGCCATAAAAGGACTACTCCAGAACTCAGTGAGAGAGAAGAGGAAGACTTGAATAGGTGGAGAAACCCTGTGCTCATCAGGGGGACAGTTTAATAGCAAAATGTCAATTCTGCTCAAATTGATCTAAGTATTTAGGATAACCCCAGTGTGAATAGCAACAGGCTTAAAAAGAAATTGGTGAGCCAGTTTTCAATTCCTTGTGGGAACTTAAAAGATCCTGAGGTAACGAAACGGGCTTTCAAAAAGGAGCAAAGTGACAGGGTTTTCACACTACCTGCTCTCCAAACTTACTAGAAACTTCCTTAAAAAAACTAAAAGTGAGACTGGAAAATCATTTAGTAGTTCTGTCTTTAGTTTCTTTCTGTTATATTATGTTACTTCCCGCAGATGCTGCCCACCAACAGTCCACACAAGTCCCAGGCACCCCGCAGCTACTTATGTTAATAGACTGGATATTTGACAAGAGACTACTTACTGTTAAGCATAGACAAGGAACCTACAGAACTCAATAATAAGAATAATAAAACCCGATTGAAAAACAGGCAACATCTCTCCACAGAAGACACACAAGTGACCAGTTGACAAACTCCAGGGATAACTTTCGTTTAAAGCACACCAGATAGGTCCTGGGTGGAATCAGGCCTGGGAGATGGCAGTTTTGAGTATCACCTGTGCTGGCAGGCTGCCCACCACTCCGCCTCTCCTCTGCCGCGCCCTGCCCCCTTCTCTAACCACGCCCTCTCCACTCCGCCCCCTCCTCTCCTATGAAGGACCCTACAAAGCTTCATTTTCTTTTGAATAGCAGTGTCCCTTCCAGAGAGTGTATGGAAACAGGTTGTAAGATACATCCCATAGACTGCGTCCATGATCAAGAAGCCAGACCTTTGCAGCAGGAGGAGGATGAAGGAGGTGGCATCTGTCCTGTTAACTTGATATATTTTATTTTAGGAAAGATTCTGCCTTTGAGGGGGACGCAGAACAAGACAGAAGGAGGCCGGTAATGTAGGACTTTCTAATGTTTTAAGACAGCACTTCCTAAATGTCTGCTGTGTGCATGCCATCTTCAAAATTGCCATAATTTTCCTCCTTGTTTTCTCAAATACCTTTCTTCTCCAATTCACTACACAAGAAATTATTGCAATTTCAAATGTAAAATTGGTGTTATTTCTAATAGTTGGCAGACTCCCAGACAAATAACAATAGAAAACAGCAATAAGAATCTATTGGTATACACAGTTACTTATTTTTCTGTTTTTGTTTTGGTTGTTCATATGTGCTGTAGGCTTTATGAACTACTAGCTGTGGAAAGGGAAATGAGACCAATCAACAAAATTAGAAGAGGGGAAATTTTATGTTAATCCTGTTTGCTGGTAGCTAGATCATGGAAGATTTAGAACGAAATTCCTTCAGTCAACCTCTTGTACAGTAGCAATATGTTCACAAACTTTCCCAAAGGAGCCACCTTGCCTCATGGTAGATGAGTGGTGATACATTGTCATGATTTATTAAAGCCACTGGAGATCAAAAGCAGCCACACTAGTTAGCTATAGAAGCTGGGTTGTGGTGGTACACACCTTTAATACCAGGACTCAGGCTTAAGAGATGGATGGATCTCTGAGTCTAAGACCACCCTGGGCTACCGGAGAGTGAATCAGAGCTCACACCTCTAATCCCAAGATTTGAGAAGTATAAAAGTAGAGGCATTCAGTCTGAGAGTTAGTCTTTAGCCACATTGAGGAGAGCATAGCCGTCTGACTAAATCCGAGGAGCAGTGAAGTCAGGAGCAGTTTGAGGATTGCCTCTTTGGTCTGAGCTGAGGTAAAGGTAAGAGCTGAGGTAAAGGTAAGAACTAGTGGCTGGCTGCTTTGCTACTCTGAACTTCAGCTTTAAGTTTGAACCCCAATATCTGTCTCTGGATCTTTTATTTATCATTCTACATAGATGAGATTTGATAGTTATTTCTCTGACTGTGGCCCAAAGAAGCACATTGGGTAAAAATGGGCATTTCTAGATGACTAACATGGAAAGCCAGAGATCTATCAAAAGGGCAGATGTGGGGTTAAATTAGACTTGGAGCCTAAAGTTTGTTCTTGCTTTAAAAAAGAAAAAGGAAAGGCTAGGAAGTAGACACATTGTAGACCCAAGACTTACCTTTAAGGGATTTTGACCTGTTAAAGAACTGAAATGCTACCAGGTACGGTAGCTCAAACCTGTGATTCTAGCATATAGGAGGCTGAGGCAGGAGGATTTCCATGAGTTCAAGGCCAGCCTGGGGTACAGATTGAGACTGTGTCTCAAAACCAGCACAAAATCAAACCAAAATGGAATGTTTTTGAGTTGGTGTTTACAGATGTAGCTTTCTGTCTTTGTGAGCCTAATGGCACTCACCCAGTGAGCCACAGCTCACACCAGGGGAAGTACACTACCCCAAGCCTGAAGTCTCAATGTATTTTTAAAAATCTCAGATATGAACACTGAAAAGAAAGGCTTTTTTAAACAGAGGTCATGAGCTGTCAACAAGCATGTCCTGGCTGTCCTGGCTTTCTCCTGCAGTTGTCCTTACTCTCAGCCCTGAAACTCAGGGTGGTCCCACCTAGGGTCTGTAGACAACAAGGAAGTCTAGGTCCTACTCAGGAAATATTGGTATAGAACACAGCCAAACACTGGGAATTTTCTTAAAGACCAGTGTTGGGTTCTTGTTGCTGTGACAAACCAAGAAAACCAGCTGTGAGGAGGGAAGTTCTGTTTGGTTCATTGTCACTGCTCCAGGGTGGGGCTTGGGAGAATGGAAATGATTAATGAGGCAGACTAAAATCTCATGGGACAACCAACTTTATTCAGAGTCTCAGACAGGGTTTAAGAAATGTCACATGAGTATAGTTCTGAGTTCAAAGTGTATACAGTCACGAGGACAAGCCACAAGTGGCACAAACATGTTTTTCCATAGAGGCATATAAAGGAGAGTTTAAACATTTTATTAATACAACAGCAACCAAGAATGGGTAATATGAAATAATCTCACTTCTATCGCTTCACCTTGGAGGAGCACAGAAACACATTCCAAGAGCAAGTCCGTGTTTTAAAGAAACTGAGGTCACAAGATTCTTGTCTTATTTCCTTGGAGTGGTACCAAATGCAGTGAGAATTCTCCTCACACAACTCTCTTCCTGGTCCATGTTCCAACAGTTCTGGTTTCAGAAACTTCAGTCTGTCACTACTTGGCCTGTTGATTTGGGCCTCTGGTGGCATAGTAAGTCCTGGCAAGAGTGTATGGAGGAGGAGACTTTTTCACCTCCTGGTGGTTTGGAAGCAAGATGGGGAATTGGCAAGTGTGCCAATGTCCTCTTCCAAGGCACCTGCAGTGAATTTACCTAGACTCTCCTTCCCAAAGGCTGCATCACTTCCTGTCAGTGCCCAGACAGGGAAGCAAACCTTCAACACAGAAGACCTTGGAGAAATGTTTGGGATCCAAACTGTGCAATCACTGACCCCCATGGTTTCTTGTGTCTAGTCAAATGTAGGAACCATTTTTGTCAATTATTTCCATGCTTTTGTAAACAATTTCCAATACAATTTGCTGTAAAATCCAAGCTAGGATTGTGTGTGTGTGTGTGTGTGTGTGTGTGTGTGTGTGTGTGCCTTTATTTCAAGATCAACTTGGACCCTCAGTATGTCCGGGATAAGAGAGTGTTGAGTTCAGTTGGGGTAGGGTTTTTAATCATAGCAGAAGTTGGGGTGAGGGGATTTTTAAGGTTCGGGACCCATGATTGGCTAGCATTTGTCTAGGGGCATCTTGGTGAAAGGGGATGGGTGTGTGCTGGGCTAAGGGACATCTGGTATTACATTAGGCATTTTCCCCTTGAATGCTGATTGGTCCATTCCTGGGTGGTGCCTGGGTGGTCTCAGTTTGTGGTCTTTCCTGGAGTCAGGTGTTGCCTTATGGTAAACCAAAACTCAGGCCTACTTTCTGTCTGGTCTCTATTGAGCCTGTCATGGCAGTAGTGTAGCCAAGCTGCCCTGGACCCTATAGCTGCTAGTTCCTTTTAACAATTACCTTCTCTGTTATCAGTGTCTATAAGGAGATGAATGGTAAAAGGAGGTATAGTTTATATGCACAGTTGAGACAGTTCAGCATTTCAAAAGATGACAACTGGGCCATTTTTAGAACATGGGTAAATACAGACAGTTGAAATAAGCCAGGCACAGAACAGAATTTCACTACATAGGAATCTAAATAGTTGAATAATAGGAGAGAGGGGTTGGGAGGATGGGGGAGGTGGTGGACACAAGATTTCAGTTAGACAGGTTCAAAGGATGCATGGTATGTGCACTGACTATAGGCAGTAGTTAGTGTTTTATACATGAAAACTGCTATGAAGGTGGTGGTAAGGTGCTTTCTCTTTTAAAAATATGAGGTGAAGTAACACATGTACTCATTAGATTGATTTAACTATTTCATAATGTACACGTATATAAAAATGCTTGTATACAATAAATACATGCAATACTTGTCAGTTTAAAAAGAAGTGAGAAATGACAAAATGCTGAAATGGTGAACATTTGGAAGAAGGATAAATGTGGATTGCAAAGCATGAATTTAAGCTCACCGTCACCCACCGTCACCCACCTTTACGGTCATGGTTTTACAGCCAGGGCTGAAATTGGTGTACTCCTAAGCTAGCGACAGCCGTGGTGCTGACTCACATCTCAGATGGGTCTGCCTATCAGCTTGTCGAGTTTCTTGTTCAGCCCCTTGAGCTCTGGTAGCTGCTTTTATGTTTTTAACCATTGATAATCTAGGCTTAATTGCAAGATGCTTTAAGTTTAAACAAACGGTATTCTTGTTTGCTTTCAGTTTGTGAAAAAAATAAAACAAAACAAAAACTGAAACACAAAACAATGTTTACTTTGCAAAGACATCCCCCCTGTCTCCTTTTGCCTCATTGTGGGTAAAACTCAGGGCTATACACATTAGCCCTTAAGCACTCAGTCATGGACCTACCTACATCCAGCCACTGGGAAGAGAGTTTTCACTTGGTTTTGTCATGTCAATCTGTGTTGAAGTGGTGGTGCAATATTGGCAGGTGGCTGCTTTGGGACAGTTACCAGTCCCTTTCCAGTTCTAAATACTTGACTAAAGAGAATTTGTCGTCCTTTGCCATAGCACCTCTAGTGGAATGAGCTCCTTTTTTTGCCCTCATGTCTGTACCTTTTCATTATGGGAGAGATCCTAGGCTCGTAGCAGGAGATATTTCTCCCAAGACAAATCATAGTGCTTAGTGCTGTGTGTGTGTGTGTGTGTGTGTGTGTGTGTGTGTGTGTGTGGTTTAATTGTAGGTAGATGGAGGTACGTGTGGCGACAAGCTTAATTGTATGCCAGGTGACGCTAATACCTGCTTTTGCTGTTCTCATTCATCATCTGTTTTGGAAAAGTTAAATTTTAGGAAACATTACTTCTCTGAGAGTAATGAAGATTCAGGTTCAAGCACCAGTGAACGATCTTGGACCCAAGATTACAAACGGAAATCCCCAAGAACATATTCGCAGAGGAGGAAGCCAGGAATCAGTTCTTTCAAGGGTTAGCTGGTTTGCTTATGTTCTTTTGGGCCCTTTCTCAGTTAAGTCAGCAGGTATTTATACCTCAGCATGTGATGGGAAGAGAAGGTACCAGGGGAATAGGCGGCCTTGGGGGCGGCCTTCCTGGAAACACCTGCAAAGGTAGAGTGTTTGCTCATGAAACCGAATGTGGGGTTAGCCTACTTTGAAATGCGAGGTACAGAAAAACAGGCGGTAAGCAGGCAGGAGGAATTCGGCACAAGCTGGAGCCATCCTCTGTAAGAAGTGGGTGGGTCTCCGCTAATTCTTGGGGAAAAGTAGGTTTTGAAGAGCTGAGAAGTGGAGTCACTGGTTCAGTGAAACCAAAGTGTGAGGGTGGTGGCCAGGGTAGGGGTGGAGAGGAATGCTGCTGAATGACCAGAAAAGGCTCCAGATGGCCCCGTTAGTGGAAACTCATAGTGTACCCGTATATGATTGGGGGTGGGGGTGTCTGTGTCTCATACGGAAACGCACCCATTGTGTTCTCACTTTTACTTTTCAGTCCTGCCACTTTCCCCCATCAGGAGTGGCAGAGTTCTTGGGGAAGACCAGGTAAGAGCAATTCACTGGGTGCCCTGGGTCCTTTTGGGCCAACCTGCATCACTGTCTTCAGGACTGTGAGACTAACAAACCAAGCGGTCTCCTGGTATGGAATCTGCTAACGTAAAGGTCATGGATGTCTAAATATTTGTTATGAATCTCAGGTAGATTTAGGCTCTTTTCTGGTCATCCTGAATACTGCTCATGGATCTTTATTTAAATACCTTTGTTGTCCTTATTTCCCACAATTGAGTGCTCTTGAATTTCTATTCCAAAATGAATATGTTATTTTATTCTTCTTTAGTTTTCAATTTTCTGAGATGATTTTTAAATCACTTTCAAAGATTTTTAACGATTTCAGCATTTGCATCTGAAGTTTGCAAGGTTGAAGTATCTTTAGGTTCATATGAATTTTATCCATGAAGTTATAAAATTCCCAATTTTTCTTCCATTACTCTTGCTTTATATCAAAGGACTTAGGAATATGGACACTGTAAAGGAAGACTTTCTCCATCTATCTCAGTCCCACTGGACTGGTTTCTCTCCACCCACTGGGTCCTACAGCCACCTAAAAATTAACTGCTCAGAGACTTAATATATATTTATAATTGTTTGGCCATTGACTTAGGCATCTTACTGGCTAGCTCTCTGTTAATTATTAACCCATTTCTATTAATCTGTGTATCACCAAGTGTTCTTGGCTTACCGGTGATGCCAGGATCTCTTGACTCTCTGGCAGCTACATGACATTTCTTCTTCAGTCTTCCTTCCCCACGCCTCTTTGTTCAGAATTCCTACCTACCTAAATTCTGCCTGCCCATTGGCCAAAACAGCTTTAATTGTCAACCAATAAGAGAAACATATAGTCCCAGCATAGAGAGGACATCCCCCATCAGGACACCAGTGCCCTGCCAAGGAAGTCTTATTAGCTGAATGTCTTCCTTCTCTTGGTAGTTGTTTTTAGTGTCTTGTCAAATCACACACACACATACACACATACACACATACACACACACACACACACACACACACACACACACACACCAGAGTATGTTGCCAGTTCATCATAGTTTGATGGAATCCCAAGGGTACCCCATCTGCTTTTGCAGAAATAGGATGCCATTAGTACTCCAGCCCCAGGACCACCTGTTTCATTCTTTAGGAAGAAATAGGCTAAACCTATGAGTCAGGATTAATATGGTGTCCCTTGGTGCCTGGGGCAGCTAGTTCCAGTACCCTGCTTGGATACCAAAATCTGTAGATGGTCATATGCTTCCTAAAATAGTACAGTATTTCCACATGACCTATGCATCCCTCCTGTAGACGTGAAATCACCATTACATGGCTTAAAATACCCAATGCAATACAATGCACATAGTTGCTGTGCTGTATTGTTTAAAAGATAAAAACCAGAAAATGGTCTGTATATGTTTGGTGTAGTTATATTACTTTCCTGAATAGTTTTGACCCATAGTTTGTTGAATTTGTGGATGGGGAAAAACCGTGGATCTGGACAGCTATGTTTAACTTTTTTATTGAATAGTTCAGCCCAGAATAAGGAGTTATTAGTTGTAGATGGGCCAAAAGAAGATATTCAAGTAAATGCAACTTTGGTTTTAATTAAGCCCAAAGAAACACCACAGACTCAAACCTGCTAAATGGAAACTATAAAATGAGCAAGAATTCTCTGCTGGCTTTTCAGTGAGGGTGTCAGATTGACTTTTTTCCACTCTTACTGTCAGATTACAAGGAAGTATTTTGGGACCAGGATTAGAAAATATTTCCTGTTAAGGGGAAGAGAAGTATTGTGTTCCTTGAAACCATAGATTCACCACAGCAGCATACTATCTGTGCCTCTCCAGTCAGAAAACTGCCTTAGACTGGAAAGGAATGTTCCTACTGGGTATTTATTTATAAGAACTGGCAGTGAGCTGCAGCTTGTCAACCGCCACTTAAGGTCAGCAGAGTGACCAGGATGGCTTGGTAGGAGCTGGACCCTGCCCCAAGTTTCTGATTGGGTAACTTGTATGTGAGAGTTGAAGATGTGCATTTCTGTTGAGTTCCTCTGTTGCTGGTCATCTGGCCTGAACCACACTGAGGACCACCAGGTTGTAGGTACCAGTTATGGTTTTGCTTCAGTGTTCTTCCAGTTTGGGGATGTTAGGATTTTATGTTTGCTGTTGCTTAATGCAGCAAATCCAATACCCAGTCTTCTTAAAGGATATTGAAAATATGCTGGGAGTTTTTTATTGTTATTTTTGAGTGTTATGAATATTAGCATTTAACAAGACTATTATGTTTTAGGCTAAGCTAACACCAGTATGGAAACGCATCTCTGGGCGAAGTGATACCACTCTTCCAAAGTTTTCTGATGTAAAACTGCAAGGTAGTTCTGTGCTTTTAACTCCCGAGGCATCTACACGGAAAATAGGTACTTGATTTTCAGTTAATTCATATTATAAAAAGTATATTTGGGGATAATGGTTTAAAAGAAACTAATTTTTGACTTTGTAAAATTATGTGTGTGTGTGTGTGTGTGTGTGTGTGTGTGTGTGTGTTTGCTGGGGGTGGTGGGGGCTGCGTGTGTGTGACAGTGTCCATGTGGAAGTCAGATGACAGCTTGCAGGGATTGGTTAACTCCTTCCATGTGGGTTCCGGGGATTAAACTCAAGTCCTCAGTCTTCTCAGACAGAAAGTGCCTTCATCCACTAAACTCTGTCCCTGGCACAATCTGTGAACAAATGATGGTGCCATGATCTTCCTATTTGCTGTTTCCATTAGCTGAGGGTGGAAGATACTGCGTTTTAACTTTGTTTTGATTCTTGAACTCGGCTTGTACATGAGACTCTGGGACTCCTCTTAAAGACAGGGTAACTCAAATGGTGACCAGCAGAAAGGATCTCTAAACATTTAAAAGGGAGTAAATAGTTATGAAGAGTAAATGGTTTTGCTTTTTGACCCTGTGTCTGTGTCAGTTGTTAAACTCTACAATCACAGAACAAAGGCAGCCACAAATAAGAAGCAGCAATCAAACTTCTCAATGAGGAAAGGTACAGGACTTGATGGAATTGTGAATAAATTGTACCTAGCATTTAAAGAAGTCACAACAGAATTTCTCAAACTCCACAAACCGGAGATAACAGTCTGAAATACACCTCATGAAGCCTATAGCTTTTCAGTTATCCAAGCTAATGAGGGAATGGGGAAAAAAGGTTACATGTGAATATCCCTAGAGAACACAGATGCAACACTCCACTGGTGTGCTGGCTAGTTTTCATGTCAGCTCGACATAGTCTAGGGTGGTGTGGGAAGAGGGACCCTCAGTTGAGAAAATGCCTCCATCAGTTTGTCTGTAGGTAAGTCTATAGAGAATTTTCTTGAGTAATGATTGTGAGCAGGACCCCAGATTACTGTGGGCGGTGTCAATGCTGGGCAGGTTGTCCTGAATAGTGTGAAAGAGCAGACTGAAGCCCTGAGGAACAAACCAAAGTGTTCCTCCATTGCTTCTGCTCCAGTTCCTGCCTCCATGTTCCTGCCTGGTGTTCCTGCCCTGATTTTCTTCCTGCCTTGACTTCCGTCGCTAATGCCCTGTGATGTGAAAATGGAAACCCCTTTTTCTTTCCAAGTTGCTTTTGGTCACGGTGTTGTGTTATAGCAATGGAAACACCAAGACAACTAGTAAACTGATTTCAGTGGCACATTAAAAACATTGTACATCATAATCAAGTGAGATTTATCCCTGGAATTCATGGATTGTTCAACTGATGAAAACTTGATAATGACATTCACCACAATAACAAAATTGGGATAAAAGTCATAATTTCAATAGATTTGGAAGAATAATGGAGAAAGTCTACATCCTTTCATGATTTGAAAACCACTCAAAAATTAGACATATATATATAGGATATACCTCAACATATTAAAGGCTATGTATTAAAAGCGTATATCTCATATTAAGGGATAAAAATGTTTTGTCAAAGATCTAGAAGAAGCTGGCAAGATGCCCACTCCACCATTCAATTCAGTACAGTTCTAGAAGCCCTCACCAGAAAAATCAACAAGACAGAAATAAAAGGAATGCTCGAAGCTATCACTTGAAAGAAAGAGAAATCCCAAAAATATTACCCCAAACGGTTAGAATTAATGAACTAATTCATTAAAATTAGACAAAAAACCAATATATAAAAATTATTGTGCCTTTCCCTGGTGAAATAAGATTCAAAATGTCTGAATGAAGAGGCTCAGAACAGAACCCAGCTCTTCCACAAAGAAGACATGAAGTAATGGGTACCCTGAACCACAGAAGGTGAGCACTGTGGCTGAGGGTACAGGGTAAATTGCCCCTGACCTAGGAGATCCAGGTGCTTGCCCTCTAGGATAAGAGGGTGTTGCCAGGTGTGTGGGGGCTGTGCCAAGGCAGTAAAATGGTTCCTATCACGGCTCCCTCAACCTGTACTGAGACCAGGCACCCAATACTGACAGGGTATGGATAGGACACCTAGGTTCCCTGCTGCCATGTGTACAGCAGCTTGGACTCCTTTGATTCCAGCTAAAAACCCTGTGGCTGGATGGATATGCATAAAGGAACTTTGCCTAGCCCTGGCTGTAGTCTCACTATTGGGCATGTAGTCTCGAGGAAGGAAGGACAGCAATGTTTCTGCTACCCATCAACACAGATTCTGCCGCCGCCATCATCAGCCCCACGCTGCTCCCAGGACCTAGTGTGAGCGCCAGTTCATGCCATAACCTGTCTCTGGGTATCACCTTGGCCCATACCACTGACTGTTACTGAGGCACCTCTTGCGGTTTTTTTATTTAATGGGCCGTCTCCTTCATCTTAAGCATTTCTGTTCTTCAAAGTTTCGATCTTTTTGCTAAATCTTCTCTCTCTTTTGGATTTTGATCTCCAACTCATTAGCTGTCAGAATCACTTCAGAGACTGTCTTGCCAAGGTCTTGGATTGGATAGATTTTCTTCATCTGATTGGCTTCTGTTCATGATCATCAATTCTTTTAAAAAGTAAAACTCCAAATTCTTTCTCAGACACACCAGCTGTCTCAGGAGTTTTGGACTCCCCTATATGGGTTATTCGGGTGGGGATGGCTCATGGGTGTTGGGTATGTCATTCTTGACAACAGACTTTTTGAAGGAACACTACGTCATCAAAGTCAGGAGAAGAGTAAAAATATGTTGAAACAAATGAAAGGAGAAATACAAACATAGCAAGTCTTGTGAAATGCAGCAAAAGTAGCATTAAGAGGGGAGTGTGGGGACTGGAGAGATGGCTCAGAAGTTAAGGGCACACTTGCTGTTCTTGCTGAGGACAGAGGTTCATTCTCAGCATCCACATGGTGGCTCGAAGTCATCCTTAATTTCAGTTTCAGGGCATCTGGCACCCTCTTCTGGCCTCTGTGGGAATCGGGCATGAACACAGTGCACATACATGTAGCCAACACACACACACACACACCTTTTTTTTTTTTTTAAAGCAGAAGCCTATACCAATTAGTGTTTAGTTTTTTAAAAAAATGTTTAAGGTAGCCTAAATGCATCTCAATCAAAGAATATAAAAAAAACCCAAACTCACAATGGACAGATAGGGCAGAGATAATCACAATAGAAAAGAGAAAGTAAGGCAGTGAAAGTTGTACTTTAAAAAGATAAAACAGCTACACTACCAACAGCAGAATGAGACACTGATATAATTGGTGATGGTGGGTACATTGTAATTAATACCACAGAAATACACAGGTTATTTCAGATAATTATAAAAAAACTATATCAACAAATCAGAGCCTTAAAAGAAATGAACAAATCTCTGGACACACATTCTGCCAAAGCTGATCCACGAGGACATAAAATAACATGGAACCAGATGGAACCAGAGCATTAACAAACAGTTACCTTCGACTAAAAGGAACCGGGCAGCTCAACTGCTGCATTTTTACTAATTTTTAAAAGAATAATGAAAACCCTCAAATTATTCCATAAAGCTAAACATAGAAAGCATTTATTTTTAATTCCTTAAAAATAACTAGTGTGTGTATGAATGAGGGTGCCAGAGACCGACATCCGGTGTCTTTTTCAATTGCTCCTTACCTTAGTTGGTGTGTGCACATGCAGGCCAGAGAAGAACTGTTTGGTGCTAGTCCTTGCCCTCTCACTCTTTAGACACGGGTTTCTTGCCTGGCCCGTGAGTTTCTGAGAGTCTCCTGCCTCCTCTCTTTCCCACGGGCACAATGAGTTTACAGATGTTTGTGCTATTGCATCTCCCTTTCCCAGGTTTGTGCTATAACAGATGCTTGTACTCCTGCGTGTGCCTTCGGTGTAGTGGCTAGGATCCAGACTTGGGTCTCCGGGCTTGCATGGCATAAGTACTTTAACTCACTGAGCCACCATCTTGACCTGCTGCCAGAATTGGTAATAGCATTGCCCTGTTACCACAAACTGCAGCACAGAATACCTGATGATTGTATGTGAGTTCTTAACAATACACTGGCAAGCCACATTAATTCGATATATCAAAAATATTTTTCACCATTATAAAGTTGGTTTCACAGCCAAACATTAGGCAGAACTTAGAGAATCCTGCAGAAGAGGAAGAGAAAGGACTGTGGGAGCCAGAGGGGTCAAGGATACCACAAGAACCCCCCCCCAAAAAAATCAGCTAACCTGGGCTCATAGGGGCTCACAGAGACTGAGCCAACAGCCAGGGAGCCTACAAGAGTGTGACCTAGTTCCTTTGCACATATGTTATGGTTGTGTAGCTTGGTCTTCTGGTGGAACTCCTAAAAAATGGGAGAGGAGGCTGTGTCTGACTCTTTTGACTGTTTTGGGGACCCCTGCCCCCCGTTGCCTCATCCAGCCTGAATATGAGGGAGGTGCCCAGTCTTATTGCAATTTGATATGTCATGTTTGGTTGATATCCCTGGGAGGAGGGAAGGTTTCAAACTGCAGTCAGAATGTAATATGAGAGAAGAATTAAAAAATACACTACTAAGAAAATAAAGGTGGTTTCATCCTAGAGATGCAAAATTTGAGAATGATTCAGGGGAGAAAAGGTGTGTGATGGATTTAGCCACCCAGGAAATGAGTATCAATGAGTGGCTGGGATTATAGGCCAGTGAGAGAGCATTTGAATGATGTGTGCTAAGTCGATCTTTAGCACAAAAACAAACAAATCTGACTATAACAAGAAATCAGCTTGCCAAAGTTGTGACAACTTATTTTAAAATACCGTTGGTAAGGGTATGGGCAATGGCAGCTCTTACATAGCAAACTAGTGCAGCTATGACAGAGACCAGTCTGAGGCTCCTTACAGAACAAAGAATAGACTTACCATATGGTGCAACTGCCCCATTTCTGTGAATGCAGTCAAAGGGAATGAAATCAGCACCCCAGGGAAACCTCCAGGATGAGGCTTAAATATGAGCTAAAATATGGGATCAGCCCAGGTGCTCCTACACAGAAAGATGCACAGGTAGCAAAAATGGAGCATTTATATGAAATGTATTATCAAGCCATAGAGAGGAATGGCATCTTGCCTTTTGCATCAAAATGGATGGAACATGGGGGATTTGTGTGAAACAAGCCAAACATAGACCAGAACTGTGTGTCCTTTCTCATTTGTAGAAGCTAAATTCTTCTTGACAGTAGAAGCTAGACTACTAGAAGTTGAGAGTATGGGGTTGGGGTGGGGAAGGCTGACAAAGTGGTTGGCTTTAGTCGGTGCATGTTATTTGATTTGTAGAAACATCACACTCTGTTAATATGTATAATTCTTGCTAATTTTAAAATCTGCCATGTCCTCTATGCTAGCAGAGAGTTACCTGAAACAAGATGCAGAGGATGACCCCATTTATAATAGGAAAATAATAGGAATAACTTAAACAAGAAAGTGGGAGTTCTGGGTACTGAAGAAGGAAGAGAGAAGGAAGGTGTTTGAAGAAGGTATGAACACACGGAAGGCTCTCTTGTCTCCTGGACTGGAAGAACTGATGTTTTAAGACTATCCAAAGTAATTTGCAGTTTATATGCAGTCCTTGTCAACATTCTAAATACATTCCTCACCGAAATAGAAAAATCAAATCTAAAAACTGGCAAATTGTTGATATTTAGTACCTGTAAGAAACTTGCAGTTTCAGTGTGAAAAAGAATTAAAAATGGACGAAACATCCAAATGCCCACCAAATCTAAGAAAAGGTGCTGGGTGTTGTAAGATGGTGGAACAACTTAAATGTCTCCTAGTGAGTGGGAAGCTGACAAAAACTGTGGTGGGCATATGATTGCAGCCCATGGTCTTTAAAAAGGAAGTCTTGCCTTTTGTGGAAAAGGTGCGTCTACAGGATATTTTACCACAGGAAATGAGGCCAATGGAGAGATGCTGTTGTATGATCTTTACCCACGTATGAAATCTAAAAATTTCAAAACCACAGAAGCAGAAAATAAGATGATGTTTACCACATGGGATGCGAATCGGAGATCTCCAAGCATGCAAGTCTTACATTTCTAGATGACCAATTTCTGCAGGTGATGAATGATGTGTTAAATTAATTTGGATGAAACTAGTAAACAAAGAAGACCCTAAAAGAGACAAACTTTGTCCTCTGGAGAAGGGGAAAGGGTCACCATCCCCTGAGCAAATTGAGAGCATGGGAAGAGGGGGAGAGGGAGCTATGAGAGTGAGAAGGGAAGAAAAGGAAGGATGCAGAAGTCATGAGGGAGCAGAAATTTTGAGTCAGGTGTAGATTAGAAGAAAGGACATATGATAGGTAGGATTTTAGTGGGGGGGTGGTAGGGGAGGAAGGGAGGGAGAAGGGAACTGGGATCGTTATGTAATTCAATCTTGTTTGTAATTCAAATATATAAAAAATAAAAATAAATAAAAAAATAATTTGGATGTAATAATCAACAAATGATGTATGGGCATATCAAGTCATCACACACAAGAGAGTAGTGAAATAAAGGAGGCAACTTAAGTTAGAGGAGAGAGAAGCAAGGTTGGGTGGAGTCCTTGTCCATGTTCTTAGGGCCAGATGGGCAGCTACTGAGCCAGCCAATCAAGCCAAGGGAACTGAGTGTCCATTTTATCTATGGACCTACACACCCTACAACTACACATGCCCTGAGAGCCAAGGAACTTGTGTTTAGGAATGTTCCTCATCATCTAATGATGAGATACGGCATAGAGAACAGTCACACAATGCTATTTATTTGTCTGTGTTTCTTGTTCTAATTACTCACTGGGAATTGTTTTCTCTACTATTCAGAGCTTCGAAGTCTTCATCCACTGGGCAGTCTCTCTCCGTTAGAGCACCCAGAATTTGAAGAAAACGTACCTCAGGTACCATTTATTACTCATTAAAATTTCTAGAATTAAGATTATATTCGCATAAAACAATTGTTTATTCTGTTGACAGGATGCTACAGTACCATTTTCTTCTTTTACAATTATGTATATGTACCAATTATATGTGTCTGTATTTTGTGTTTTAGATTGGGAACCGAGAGACGTTCATGGAAAACATTAGCTTCAAACACAAGCTAGAAAACTCAGAACACACAGGTGGTTAAGTAATTCATTTTTTAAAAACAGAATAAAAGTGAAATTAATCTGGGCCATTTTTTAGACTACACAAGTGAAAAATTACTTTGCACATGTTCCTTTCGTACGTGTTTTTTTTTTAAACTTTTTATTTAAATTAGAAACAATCTTATTTTACATATCAATCCCAGTTTCCTTTCCCTCCCATCCTCCCATGCTCCTTCCCCAACCCCCCATCCCATACCCCATCCACTCCCCAGGGAGGGTGAGGCCTTCCATGGGGGACCATCAGAGTCTGTCACATCATTTGCGGCAGGGCCTAGGCCTTCCCCTGTGTATCTAGACTGAGAGAGTATCCCTCCATGGGAAATGGGCTCCCAAAGTCCATTCATCCCCATTTTTTTTAAAGTGCTGATATTGTTTGATTTCATGATCTAATTCCTCTACTTTATCTTCAGGTCTCAACATTTTCTTTTCTGCTTGACCCTTTCTACCAATCAGGATTTGCCCTGAAATTTCTGCTTGAGTAATTGAATTTTTCAATTCCAACTTCATGGCAGCTTGAATTTTCTTCAGTATTTTTTTTTTGATGTCACTTTTTAAATTCTTATTTGTCCTTGTGATTTCATTCAGCATGTTTTCTTGGGCTTTAAGCAGGAGTTTCCTCCTTTTCTAAGTTCATCTGCATGTTGTTCTCCTCTTTAAACTCCTTGGATTCTTTTTTTTTCACGTTCCATATCATTGGGTTCATCTAAGTAATTCTCCTTGGCAAAGATTTCTCTATTTCTTTGTCCTGAGGAGAGTCATGTCCTGACCTCTCGCGGTTTGTGTTTTGTGATCTAACCTGGACATGTGATCTAACCTATTTCACTGGTTGTACAACTGACCAACCTGTGTTGAGTAGAAGGTTTTACTATTGTCTAGGACTGGTTGAGTTCAGGTATGGTATGAAGAGCTTGTAGGTCAACCCTTCTGGTGTTTGGTCTTGACTTTTGCCTGGAAAGATTGGGTTGATTCCAATTCACTGGTAACCAAAAAACAGGTGACTGTGGCTCCCAGCTGGGTCTGAGCATAGAAAGGTTATGATATGATGTACCAGGTCTGGGGATGACTTACTGATAGAATAAGTGAGTGGCTCTTCCTGGTGAGTCAGGGTGATGTGCCTGGCTGTTGTAAAGGTGGGTGCTACTAATGCTCAGCCTAGGAGTGTTGGGGTGGTGTTGGCAGGCACCTGAGGCACTTACCTTGTGGCTTCACTCCTGTGCTATTCCAGATGGTTCTGTGTGGTGTGTAACGACAACTCTTTACACATGAGTTCCGCCATCACATTAGGGCCCCCAAATAACACACAGAGTCTTACATTAGTTACAGTGCTGCTGGCCAATGACTAGAATTTCTTATTTGCTAGTCAGTCTTAATTATCAACCATAACTACTAATCTATATATTTTTATAAGGACTTATCTTATGGAAGATATCATGCATCCTCTCTTCCCCAGGATCACATGGCGACTCTCCTCTTTACTACATTTCCCAGAATCCTCCTTGACTCCTAGCCCCACCTAACTTGCTTCCCGATTGGCCAACAGTGCTTTATTTATCAAAACCAATAAGACAAACATATACATAGAAGGACATCCCCCATCAGTAGGGGTCTGAGAAAATTTCCTGGCAAGTTTTCCCTCCTGTGAGAGAGGTGGTCTGGCAAAGTCACCCAGCTGGTGTATATTCCTGCACAATTCTGGATGGGCTGGCAGAGTTGTGTGGGGTCTACCATGTTTTCTTTAGTTAATTCATCCCTTGACGAACACATAGGTTCATTCCATAACTTGATTATTTTGAATGATGCCTTTACCAGGTGTCTTGGTAGTAGGCAGACTTAGATTCCTTTGGGTATAGACCCAGGAATAGTATAGCTGTGTTGTATGGTAGTTCTGTTCTTAATGTTTTGAGGACTCTTCATACTGATGTCCACAGTAATTGCACTAAATACATTCCTACAAATACTGCACAATAACACCACTCCATCCTTGCAGTATCTGTTGTTCAAATGATGACTGAGGTGAGATAGAATTTCAGTGTGTCTTTATTTGCATTTCTCTGATGTCTAAAGCTAACACATATTTTTTTCATGTTTACTAACCATTTATGCTTACCTTTTGAAAACCATCTCCCCAATTCCTTTGTTAATTTATTGAATGGATTATTTGTATATGTTTTAGAGTTCTTTATTTTTTTCTAAATTCTTGTCCCCTGTTGGATATAGCTGGAAACGATATTCTCTTACTCTGTAGGTTGTCTCTTCATTCTTTTAGTTGTTCCCTTTGCAATGTAAAAGCTTTCAAATTTTATGCCATCTCATTTTTTAATTCTTACCATGATTTTGTAGGCAACTGGAGTCCTTTTAGAAAGTTCTTGCCTATATCTAGATCTCAAAGTACTTCCCTTGTGTTTTTCTCCTGCAGTTTTAGAGATTCAGATCGTATAGTGACATCAAGCTGACTTTTGTAGAGAGTGAGAATTAAGGATCTGGGTTCACCCTTTTATATGTGTGCTTCCCCCAACCCCTCACAAGCACCATTTGTTGAAGAGGTACTAAAAACCACCTACAGATTCAATGTGGTCTCCATCACACTCTCCGCAACACTCCCCATAGAAGTGTCTGTATGTGGTGGGGGACCTTAAAGTTCATAAGAATGAATGCATAAAAGACCCAAATCACCAAAGCATCCCAAACAGGCAGAGCAAAGCTGAAGGCATCACAGTACCTGACTTCAAATAATTCTGCACAGTATCAAAAACAACATGTTACTGACACAGAAACACAGAGCTCAATGGAAAGAATGGAGGATTCACAGCTACAGCTGTCTGGAAATACGAAAATATGTTTGCTGTCCACTGTTGTGGCTTTATTTGGAACACTATGTTTAGCAAGTCTGTCCATACCTTGTGAAGCAGAGAATCCCTACATGTATCTGAGCTCATCAAAGGGATGTCTGTGGCCAAGTCCTCCTTCAGGCATCAGTAGACACCAGTGCATGGTCCACTCACCCCAAAACAAGCAATTAGTAATGAGGAGGAAATGAGGGTCACTCATGTTGTATCCAAGTTAAATATTAACTGGCAAAAAGAAGTCTACAGTCAGTGATAGTGCAATAATTAAATAACTGTGGGGGTATCTGCCCCCAAATGGGACACCTACAGCACAGCTTTTACACCTAAGACTCGGGGAACATCGCAGAAGTAAAGGTGGAAATGTTTTAAGAGTCTGAGGACCAGGACTAACACTGTGTGACAGTTTCTTCTAGACAGGACAGGGATGTTTCTCCCATGAACTTGTGACTACATAGCTGCCTGCACAAAGACCTGCAAAGACCACACCAATTGACACACCATCATAGATGCAGAATACCTCACAAGACACACCCTAAATGAAGAGCTACTGGAAGCCAATGGCTGCTGAGGGAGAGAGAAATAATTGTTTTTTCCTTTAGGGTTGAGACCCTAATCTCAAGGAGTCAGCCCTAAATGAAAGAAAATAAATGCAGTACTAATTGGACTCAGTAGGAAGTTTGTGTGTGTGTGTGTGTGTGTGTGTGTGTGTGTGTGTGTGTGTGTGTGAGAGAGAGAGAGAGAGAGAGAGAGAGAGAGAGAGAGAGAGAGGGGGTGCATGTATGTGTTTTTTTGTGTGTGTTTGTATGTTTGTGTTTGTGTGTATGTGTATGTCTATAGAGGTTATGATTCTAAGAGGGGGCACAAGAAGAGTTGGGTGGGGCGAGGGTTGTGAAAAGACCCAAATCAACACAGAGCAGTGCAGATACAGTGGGGCACATATGTGAGATGCTCAAAGAGGACAAGATGCATTGGAAAAGAAAGGAATGTACACACAAGAGTTTCACTACAGTGCTGCTTATGTTTAGAGATACCAGATGGAGGTGTTGCTGCCCCAAAGCAATCAAGATTAGAAGATGCTCCAGGATCCCCCGCTCTGACAGGTAACTTTATGCACCCAGCCAGCAGCTGAGGAGGGATGATTGATGTGTCTGTTCTTAAGGTACCATTGTGTATTACAAGAGCTACATTCTAAGATCACCAGGGTTACTGCAGCCTATGTGGTAAGCATTTTGTTTTTTCTGAGATGAACAAATTGTTACACAAATTCTAGATAAAAGCAATCAGCCTCCTCTTCTATCATTTTGATGTCTGCACTGTAGCACTCCTTTAAAATCTGCAGGTTCTAAAATTAGAGGCTTCTGCTTAGCTGATAGTTACTATATTTTTGTGCACACATAATTTATAATCTAAGAGAGTGACCTGGCATGTGTATGTGAGCTTGGCCACCTTTCTGGGTGAATATAGCACTATGTATTTAAATGGAGGGCTCCAAAAAGACAAACTGGGAAGCCCAGAGGCATAAGGAGGTTATGATTTGATATAACCTACATTCTATTCCTGGAGCTGCTGGTATAGACTTGCAGAAGTCATGTGGTGTCCATGTTTCATGTGAATCCTAGAAATACTACTATGGTTTTTGTAAGGAATGAATGAGTTGGTGAATGCAAACCATTAACAGAGGCCTCTTATATGCCTAGGTAGGTCTGGCATCCAGGAATTTTGTCAAGCCATCCTCATTTACATAACCTGTTATATCCTCTGTTATTTATGGACACACGTGTGCATGTGTGAAGGTTAGAGGACAACTTTCTGCTGTCAGTTTCTTCTCCTCCTCCTCCTCCTCCTCCTCCTCCTCTTCCTCCTCCTCTTCTTCTTCTCCTCCTCCTCCTCTTCCTCCTCCTCTTCTTCTCCTCCTCCTCTTCCTCTTCCTCCTTCTCCTCTTCCTCCTCCTCCTCCTTTTTTTTTTTTTTGAGACAGGGTTTCTTTGTATTCCTTTGGAATACAAAGCCTGTCCTGGAACTCCCTCTGTAGACCAGGCTGGCTTGGAACTCACAGAGATCCGCCTGCCTCTGCCTCCCGAGTGCTGGGATTAAAGGTGTGCGCCACCAACGCCCATCGTCAGTTTTCTTCTTATACCATATGGGTTCCAAGGATTGAACTCTGGTCGTCAGGCTGGTGGCAAGCACCCTCACCCACTGAGTCATTTCACTGTCTCCCCTGTTGTGTGTTCTTTACAACTCCCTGTAATACCCAAGCTTGTTCATAGATACACTGTGATTTAAGGTGATGAGAAGGTTTGGATGGAATGAACACTTGAAAAAGGGTGGCATTTGGTGGGAGGTAGCAAGAGTGCTTGTCTCACTGATTCAGTGTGAGCTAACTCGTATGGTTATGGTCAGCATCACCCATGTTTCAGAATAAGATCCAAATAGCTAGTGGGGGTTGTGTATGGTTTATATTTGGGCTTCTGGCAAGTTGTTCTATCCTCTGACCAGCAGGTTGACCAAGCGTGTCTACTTGAATATTTTTGTTATCATTAATATTTTATTTTTGTTTATCAGATATTTCTACTTCATCCCAAGAAGATGTGCCAGAAAATGCAAATAGTTCTGCTTTTAAAACAGCCTTTGAAAACTTCACTAGAGATCTGAAAAGAAAATTTGAGGTATCAGTCCTCTAAAGCAGGAAATATGGAATGATCTAGAAAAACACAGCATGACCTCATCGATACATGTAACATCTACAAAAGTTGAATGAGAAGGCAGAGGTTACCAGGGGCCAGAGGTGGGGTTGGGGTGGACAGGTACTAGTCAGCAGACACAAACGGACTGAGCCATCTCTCCAGTTCCATGTTTTCAGTTTGTCAACTGTATCCCTCAATGAGGTTGGGCAAAAAGGCAACAGACAGAAAACACAACTCACTCTGAATTTAATGTACCAAGTTCCTTTAATCCTTCGGGAGTACAGTGTCCTTCATGTGTGAGGCAGGGGCATTCATCTTGGCTGTAGTCACTGATTTTGACTGCCATCCTGAGCTGTAGTTTGTATTGTTAAGACTCCTCCTTGCCCATTCTCTCCAGTGGGACCAAATGCTCTTGACTTGGTTTCACTGGTGGCATTTTCAGAAGACAGTGATTTGGCCACAGTGACAGATAGGATCATGTGTAGGAGAGCAGACTCTAAGATACAGGGGGAGGGGATGTGGAGGGTGTGTGTTTAATAACAGCACAACTTTGAGACCCTGGGCATGCAAGCCACCCCAGCATCGTCTGTGAAATGCATATCGCAGCAATTTCAGGCTCCTCTGACTTTGTCTTATTTGAAAGTCCCCAACGGCACATTGCAGAAACATCTCTCTAACTCAGGAGACCTCCAGAACCCTGCTTTCTGCAATAAGCTAATGTATAATGGTCAAAGTTTATACATTGTATCAATAGTATGAATACATATATATAGTATGAATACATTGTATCAATAGTATGAATATAGGTTTTTCCAGTTTCTCTTGTTATTGATCATACCAAACCCAAGGCAATGCCTGGAATGTACATAGGATGATACCTTTCTGAAGTGTCTTAGTAGGAATGTTTCCCTTGAGCCTCACTGTGTGCTGCTGGTGTCTTTCTGATATGGTAAGCACTCATGTTCCTCATTTACCCCCAAATGCAATTACTTTGGTTTTTTTGTATTGTGGCTTTAGCTCAAACAGAAAGAGATTCCACTTTCTTCAGAGAAGGCAAAGGAAGTGCCAGGCTGCCTGATCAGATTTTGGAACCAGATACACACGTGCAGGTAAATACTAGATGGAAAAGCAGAGGCATAGGAGTGAAGCAACATTTATCTCGTGACCTGAGTGTGTGTGTGTGTGTGTGTGTGTGTGTGTGTGTGTGTGTGAGTGTGAGTGTGTGTGTGTGTGAGTGCGTGTGTGTGTGAGTGTGTGTGCGTGAGTGTGTGTGTGAGTGTGGGGGGGAGTGTGTGAGTGTGTGTGTGTGGGGGTGAGTGTGAGTGTGTGTGAGTGTGTGAGTGAGCGTGAGTGTGTGTGTGTGTGAGTGCGTGTGTGTGTGAGTGTGTGTGCGTGAGTGTGTGTGTGAGTGTGGGGGGGAGTGTGTGAGTGTGTGTGTGTGGGGGTGAGTGTGAGTGTGTGTGAGTGTGTGAGTGAGCGTGAGTGTGTGTGTGTGTGAGTGCGTGTGTGTGTGAGTGTGTGTGCGTGAGTGTGTGTGTGAGTGTGGGGGGGAGTGTGTGAGTGTGTGTGTGTGGGGGTGAGTGTGAGTGTGTGTGAGTGTGTGAGTGAGCGTGAGTGTGTGTGTGTGTGAGTGCGTGTGTGTGTGAGTGTGTGTGCGTGAGTGTGTGTGTGAGTGTGGGGGGGAGTGTGTGAGTGTGTGTGTGTGGGGGTGAGTGTGAGTGTGTGTGAGTGTGTGAGTGAGCGTGAGTGTGTGTGTGTGTGAGTGCGTGTGTGTGTGAGTGTGTGTGCGTGAGTGTGTGTGTGAGTGTGGGGGGGAGTGTGTGAGTGTGTGTGTGTGGGGGTGAGTGTGAGTGTGTGTGAGTGTGTGAGTGAGCGTGAGTGTGTGTGTGTGTGAGTGCGTGTGTGTGTGAGTGTGTGTGCGTGAGTGTGTGTGTGAGTGTGGGGGGGAGTGTGTGAGTGTGTGTGTGTGGGGGTGAGTGTGAGTGTGTGTGAGTGTGTGAGTGAGCGTGAGTGTGTGTGTGTGTGAGTGCGTGTGTGTGTGAGTGTGTGTGCGTGAGTGTGTGTGTGAGTGTGGGGGGGAGTGTGTGAGTGTGTGTGTGTGGGGGTGAGTGTGAGTGTGTGTGAGTGTGTGAGTGAGCGTGAGTGTGTGTGTGTGTGAGTGCGTGTGTGTGTGAGTGTGTGTGCGTGAGTGTGTGTGTGAGTGTGGGGGGGAGTGTGTGAGTGTGTGTGTGTGGGGGTGAGTGTGAGTGTGTGTGAGTGTGTGAGTGAGCGTGAGTGTGTGTGTGTGTGAGTGCGTGTGTGTGTGAGTGTGTGTGCGTGAGTGTGTGTGTGAGTGTGGGGGGGAGTGTGTGAGTGTGTGTGTGTGGGGGTGAGTGTGAGTGTGTGTGAGTGTGTGAGTGAGCGTGAGTGTGTGTGTGTGTGAGTGCGTGTGTGTGTGAGTGTGTGTGCGTGAGTGTGTGTGTGAGTGTGGGGGGGAGTGTGTGAGTGTGTGTGTGTGGGGGTGAGTGTGAGTGTGTGTGAGTGTGTGAGTGAGCGTGAGTGTGTGTGTGTGTGAGTGCGTGTGTGTGTGAGTGTGTGTGCGTGAGTGTGTGTGTGAGTGTGGGGGGGAGTGTGTGAGTGTGTGTGTGTGGGGGTGAGTGTGAGTGTGTGTGAGTGTGTGAGTGAGCGTGAGTGTGTGTGTGTGTGAGTGCGTGTGTGTGTGAGTGTGTGTGCGTGAGTGTGTGTGTGAGTGTGGGGGGGAGTGTGTGAGTGTGTGTGTGAGTGTGTGTGTGTGTGCTCACGTGTCAGGGAGTGGGCTGAGAAGATACAGTGAGGGGATGTGAGGCTTCCTGTGTATTTTAACCTTTATGGTGTCTTGTTCTCCGTCAACAAGATGAGAGCTGGAACTCAGCATTCCCCTTCAGCCTCTATGATCTATCAGAACAATTCTAAAACAGGTTTCTTTAGAAATGATAATCCACTTGTGAAGACGGGGCAGGCCCGGAGAGCCGTGGAAAAACAGACCAGGTGAAGTGTGGTATGCCCACACTATTGATGGTCGCCCAGCCTAGGGAAGAAATTTATGTTTTTAGTTTAATTACACCACTTTCTCCCTTCCTCTTCCACCCTGTAGCCCCTCCCAAATACCCTCCCTCCAGCTCCTTCCATGCCACCCTCTCTCAAACTGCAAGCATTGCATGGTTCCTCTTAAATGAGAGGGTGGGCAGAAATTTACAGAGACAGAAAACACCAGAGAGGCCGAGGGAGAGGACTGCTATTGTTTAATTGGCATACATTTTATGCTTCTCATGGTGAGCAAACTTTTAAATGTGTAATGGCGAGGTTGCAAAGCACTGTGAATGAGCCTAGTGTTTGCTTTGCCCTCTTAAGCATGCTTAGAAGGGTGAATGTTATCTTATGCTGTGATAAGAATATTGAATACATATAATACCCTTACGACCGAGTCAGTAGGGAGTGCCAAGGTGCCCACATGTCTGAGAAGTGAGTGATGGATTTCTGTGTAACTAGACTCAGTTTAGAACAACTGCTATGGGAGCTGGAAGCGCTTTTTGGATGAGATCTTGGGACCCAATTTTGAAGAAAATTTAGAGATTGTTCCATATTGGAGAGAATGGCTTGAAAAAGGGCATGGGGGGGCAGGCATTTGCTTAGCTGACATAGAAATGTTCTTGGGATTAAAATATGTTATTTGAATAAGAAGTTACAATTTTTTTCAAGTTCCTTTGTACATGCAATGGGCAGACAAGACCATGGTGGGCTGTGGATTTGCAGAGTTCCTGTTGTGTTTTAAGGGCCATATCCACTCAGCTAGCTAACAATAATGCTAGATGCTCAGTGTGAGGGCTAGCTGTGAGGGACAGCTGTGAGGGAGCTTTCTAATTATTAACAGATAGCTGAGGCAGCCAGGCATGATCCAGCTCATCAGAGGCTGAGGCAGGAGAGTTGGCATGGTTTTTGGCCAGTCTGGGATATGTATAGGATATGAGGTTTAGATCAGGCTGAGATTGTAGAGTGAGACCCCTTTGTGATAATACTAGGTACCATGTGAACGTGTATGCTCATATTTTCTTTCATGGATTTGGGGGATTTAACCTGCAATCAATTTGTCCTTGCTCTGGACTTTGTGGTAGAGGAAGGGATCATGGCAGAACGGGTAGTAGAGAAAACTACTCAACTGACAGCTAGGAAAGAAAAGTAAGAGCCCCATATCTCAGAGACACTGTTGGGGCATGCTCACAATGATCCCAGTAGGTCCTACCTCCATCAATTTCTAATACGCTTACCCAGATTTTTAATATTCTACATCCAAATGGGCAGAAAGCCACAGGGGCTCTGTTTATATGGAACATCAGGCATATAATGTGTGCCAACAGATGAGCCATTTATATGGAGGTTAGACACAGAATGATGACTGTTGGAAAATTTGAAACTGAAACACAGAGGCAGGAAAAGGGTACCTGAACCTCCTGACCATAGCTGTCATGGCAGCTGTGTCAGACAGAGGAAAGGAAGCAGAAGGCAGAAGGTGGGTGGGCATTCAGTCACCTTTCCTAGGGCCATGTGTCCTGCATTGTGAAGCTAGTGATGACATGTGGGCCCCTCTGGGCTGCTGCCAGGGGCTAGGTGAGAGTTCACGGGTTTCTGAGATCACTGAACATGAAGAGAAGGTGGGCAGAGAGTGAAGGTGCCAACATGTTTTTAAGGCGAGACTGTCTGGCGAACGGGTTCTCTTGGGAACATCCTGTCACACCCAATTGGTCCCACTGAAGTCTGTTGTTCATGTTTGGCAGACTGAACAAGCTGGAGAGGTTTCACAGGTCTGTTCTGCAGGAGCTGAGTGACATGGAGAAGGATCTTCAGGCTCTCAACCACCTAGAAGAGGATGCTCTGGCAAGTCCCTTGTTTGTCCTGTCTCTGGGAACAAAGAGGACCTTTTCTAGGGGGAAAAAAAGAAGCAACGAGTGCTTAGTTGAAATCGTTGTTCCTTTTCAGGAGTTTTGGGAGAAAGGATCTGCTGACTTGCGATCATTGTGTGATCAGCAAACGCTAAGGTACTTTAAAAACCATTCTTTCTAGAAGCATCTTTTTGTTGTTGTTTGTTTGGTAAGGTTTCTATATGGAGCCCTGGATATCCTGGAACTCACTATGTATTCTAAGCTGGCCTCAAACTCACAGAGATCTGCCACCTCTGTCCCCTGTGTGCTGGGATTAAAAGTGTGTGCCACCATGTCTGGCTCACTGACATTTCAAAAACATAACATTCTTATTTATTATATGTGTATTATGATAAAGGCTGTAGCTTGTATGCCACTGCACACATTTAAAAGTTAGGGGATGATTTTGTGGGGCCAGTTCTCCCACCTTTAAATGGGTTCCAGGGATCAAGGATCCTTATCTGCTGGACCATCTTGTGGCCCCAACATGACATTTTCATGAACATATAAAACACACTTCGCTCCTGTCACTTTCTCTTGTCCCCCTCCTGTCCCTGCTGGTCCCCTCCTTCTCAGGAACTAGTTTCCCTTCTACTGGCAGTGGCTACCACTGTGTCTGCCTATCTTGTACCTGCCTTTGAGTCCTGGAGCTGCTAGGAGATACCATTTTGTGGTGGTGTGGTTTCGATAATGGGAAAAGCAAATAAAGTGTTAATGTTACCTCCATTACTATCAGAGCTTTGGCTTCACAGGACCTCTGGCTCCTTATGGGCTCCCCAGCCCACACTTTGAGAGCAGCCGAAGAAAACAGTTAAGTCTCAGAGAAGTCTTCAAAACCACAAAAGGCTCATTTATTTCAATTATCTCCTATTCCCGGTTTAAGCAGCCCACTCTCCAGTTAGCATCGTTAGATAGTAATTACTGTTTACATTTATCTCTCTCTGATTCAGGTCCTTGGGGAATTTATCATGTCTTAGGGAATAGCTCTCTCTTCCAAATGTACATCTTTAAACTTTTGCTTTGTTTCTCTTTTCTTTCTCAGGCATGAAAACAGACAGACAGACAGACAGACAGACAAACTGTCCCCTGACTTGCAAATGGCAGACAAGCATGCTGCTTTTAACTCACGCTGAGGGATGTCTGGGCTCGCTGCTCTGGGCTTGAGTGTTCAATGTTCAGCATGCCTGCAAGAGGCTAGGTAGCTCAGTCCTGGGGATATACCAAGGACACCCTCAGACTAGGTTGTTTCAACCTCTAGTCTACAGCTTCAAGGAGTTAAGGATTTGGAGCTTTGAATGATGGTTGTAGAATGCCTCCTATGTGTGGGCTAGTGGTATTGACAAAGACAATTCCTAAAATAGACCCAAATGGAAATATAAATGAAGCCAGCCTGGTCTACAGAGTGAGTTCGAGAAACCCTGTCTGGAAAAACCAAAAAAAAAAAAAAAAAAAAAAAAAAAAAAAAAAAAAAAAAAAAAAAAAGAAAGAAAGAAAGATAGATGGCAACTGGGTTGCCACAAACCCTCCTCCAGCATTGTCATGTATCAATCTACAGAATAACCCTGTGATACATAAATAGATATACGTTCTTGTCTTTAACATGCCTAATGTGAATGTAATAAGTGATGGATCAATTTCTTCCAGGTTTAACTAAACTCAGTCTTCATAAGAAAAACCAAAGGCCTGGCTTTATGACTGCATCCTCAGGTAGGTGGAAAAATTGACATTGTTTGGTCCTTGTGAGTTAAGCGCTGAAAAATCCGGATGCTTTATACTTCCTGTCTGCTCTGAGCTTCCTCCAACCTGATTAGGCTCTTGGGTCAGTCATTCAGTCTTTAGAATTGAGTGCCTGCCCCATCTATCAAACACTGCACTAAACATGGAGATCCATTGGCTGATCAGCATGCAGACACACCCCTACCATATCAAAACCAGTGAGATGGCTCAGTAGATAAAGGCATTTGCCACTGAGCCCGAAAACCTGAGTTCAGTTTCTGGAACCCACATGGTGGAAGGAAAGACTCCTGAAATTTGATCTTCAACCTCTACATATGTGATACACACACACACACACACACACACACACACACACACACACACACACACACACCATAAAATTATAACAGTGACAACATGGGACTAGAGAGATGGCTCAATGGTGAAGAGGTCTGGCTGCTCTTCCAGAGGATCCAGATTCAATTCCCAGCACCCACAGGGAGGCTTGCAACTATCTGTATCCTCCAATCCCAGGATCCAATTCCCTCTTCAGGACACCTTTGGCACTGCACACATGTGGTGTGCAAACATACATGCAAGCAAAACCTTGTACATAAAACAATTTATATAATAAGTCCATCTACAAAATAATAACCATGGTTGGGTAAGTACATAGAATTTGGTAAGTCATAGCATATGGAGTATATTTATTTATAGCTTATTGATACAGGATGTCCTGTATGCTGTGATGTGTTGCTTTTATTGGTTGATGAATAAAGCTGTTTTGACTAATGGCCAGGCAAAATATAGGTAGGCAGGAAATCCAAACAGTTATGGAGAGAAAGAAGGTGGGGTCAGGGAGATGCCTTGTAGCCACCAAAGGAGTAACATGCCAGAGCTTCACCAGTAAGCCACAACCTTGTGGCAATACATAGATTAATAGAAATGGGTTAATTTATAAGAGAAAGCTAGCCAGTAGTATGTTTGAGCCATTGGCCAAACAGTTGTAGTGGATAGTAAGCCTCAGAGTGTTATTTCATAAGTGACTGCGGGGATTGGTGGGAGGAACAGAAAACTTGCAGCCACAGCTTATCTTGCTGAAGCATGCTGATTGGTTCCCCACCTGGTTTCCATCCTTTCTGCTTTCTTACTAACAGTTAAGCATAGAACTGAAGGGCTGTGTTTAAGATTGTGACCTCCAAGAATGTCAGAATCACAGATGTGGCTCCAAAAAGGAGCGTCTTTTGTTGACTGTGAGTGCTAAGGGCCCAAGAGGTGTGATGGTTGTACCTTGACTAATCACTGTCCCCCCTTTCCTTTTCCACCAGGTACAATAACCTGAGGAGGGAGATGGAGTCTGTGGTGCCTTGGCCCAAGAGCTGTCCTTCAGAGTTATGCTATCAGCAAATAGCCCTTAGCAGCTGCTGAGTAAGGGTGGTATGATAGGGAGGGATAAGGCAGGTTCACAGCTTGTAACATATTATTCATTTGTTCAGAGAAACTAAGCTTTCTATTCAAACTTGGTCCAGTCATAGAAAAGTCCAAGATGTTTAGCCATTTCAAGTGGTTTACTTTTCCTATCATTTAAATAGAGTAAACTTTATTTCAATTTGAGAAATGCTTTCAAGTTTTGTGGAAAACAGAACTTCAGCCACGTCTGCATAGAGATTATTTCATAAACTCCTTTAAAGGAAAAATAACTGGAAGACAGAAAGAGATGAGAACAGTTTGACATGAAATTATAAGGGAGACACGTTTGCTCTTCAGAGATTCCCACTTCTCCAGCTCTGTGTCCCAAAGCGCATGCTCAGTAGAGGTGACATATTCCTCCTGAGACCATCACTAAGTCTCCACTGAGGTGTCTGCAGAGGCCTGCATGCACAGTGGAGCGTCTGAATTTACTTTAGAGAAGTTAGACACATCGTCTAAGGCCACTCACAAAGTCAGATGGTTTATGGCTGGATCAGGAGAGACTGTGCATGGAGCAGTATGTTCTTGATATAACTCAGTGAGTTATGCTATAGGCTGCATATGAATTTATAGTTTTTTCCTAATACAACATGCAATCCTAATTGAATTGTTGAATTTTCTTCTTTATAACTTTTAATGAAGTGTGTTTTAGTACACTGCCATAAGCTTTTGCTTATAAGAGCACATATATTCTTTAAATTAAAGCTGTCTGTCTGTCTGTCTGTCTGTCTGTCTATCTATCTGTCTATCTACCTATCTATCTACCTACCTATCTATCTTACAACCTGGCTGCAGTTTCCCCTCCCTCCTCTCCTCCAAGTCCCCCCACAACCTCCTCTCTGTCCTCCACCAGTTCACTCCCCATCTTTTCTGTTAGGAAAGGGCAGGTCTCCCATGCATAGCAACAAAACATGGTATATCGAGTTGCAGAAAGACTAAGTACTTCCCCATGTAGTAAGGCTGGACAAGGTGACCCAGTATAAGGAGTATGGTCCCAGAAACCCGTAAAAGAGTCAGAGACAGCCACTGTTCCCACTGTTAGGAGTCCCACAGAGGACCAAGCTATATAACTGTCACATATATGCAGAAGGCCTAGGTCAGTCCCATGAAAGCTCCGTGGTTGTTAGTTCAGTCTCTGTGAGCTCCTATGAACCCAGGTTAGTTGATTCTGTGAGTTTTCTTGTGGTGTCCTTGACCCCTCTGACTCCTACAGTCCTTTCTCCCCCTCTTCTGCAGGATTCCCTGAGTTCCACCTAATGTTTGGTTGTGGGTCTGCATCTGTTTCTGTCAGTTGCTGGATGAAGCCTCTCTGATGACAATTGGGCTAGGCACCAATATATGTGTATAGTAGAATATTGTTAGGCATCATTACACTGACATTTTCCCCTCTAGTTCTGTTTGGTTTTGTCCTAGGTCTCCAGATCATCCATCCTGTGGGTCCTGGTACTCCAGGTAGTGTCAGGGGTGGGCTTACTTTCCTGGTGTGGATTTTAGACTAGATAGCTCATTGGTTGGCCACTTTCTTTGTCTCTAGGCCACCCTTACCCTAGCACATCCCATCAGTAGGACAGACTGTGGCTGGGGTGGTTTCCCACTTGCTCTACTTGAAGTCTTTCCTGGTCACAGGAGTTGGCCAGTTCAGGCCATGTATCTGCTATTGTTAGGAGCCTTAGTTGGGATCATTCTTGTAGACTCCTGGGAGATTTCCTTGTGCCAGGTTTTTACCTAACCTAGAAATGCCTCCCCACCGCATCCAGTGGTCTCTTTAAGTACTCTCCCACCTCTCAGTCCACTTACAAAATCTCTTCTATTTCCCCTTCCTAGGGAGATCCGGGTATACCCCCATGAACCCTCCTTGTTACCTAGTCTTTCTGGGTCTGTGGATTATAGCATAGTTATTCTTTACTTTGTAGCTAATATCCACTTATGAGTGAGTACATACTGTATTTGTCTTCTGGATCTGGATACTTCACTCAGGATGATTTTTTTCTAGTTCCATCCATTTGCCTTCAAATTTCCTGGTGTCCTTGTTGTTGTTTTTTTAACAGCTGAGTAATACTCTATTGTGCAAAGGTACCACATTTTCTTTATCTGCTCCTCAGCTGAAGTGTATTTAGGTTGTTTCCAGGTTCTGGCTATTGCAAATAAAGCTGCTATGAACATAGTTGTACAACTGTCCTTGTGGTATAAATTAGCATCCTTTGGGTATATGCCCAAGGGTGCTATAGCTGGGTCTTGTGGCATAGATTGATTCCCAGTTTTCTGCAAAACTGCCACATGAACTTGCAGAGTGGCTGCACAAGTTTGCACTCCCACCAGCAATGCAGGGGTGCTCCTCTTGTTCCACATCCTCTCCAGCATGATGTCACTTGTGTCTTTGATGTTAGCCATTCTGACAGGTATAAGGTGGAATCTCAGAGTCTTTTTGATTTGCATTTCCCTAATGGGTAAGGATGTTGAACATCTGTTTTTGAGAATATTTTCTTTTAACGAATTACAAACTAAATTACAAATAATATTAACAGAACACTGGAGGACAAGGGGTAGAGGGAGAAGATCATAAAATGTTGAACATCTTAAGTGTTTCTCAGACATTTCAGATTCTTCTGTTGATAATTCTATGTTTAGATATGTACCCCATTTTTAAATTGGATTATTTGGTTTGTTGATACCTAGTTTCTTGAGTTTTATATAATATATATATTTTAGAAATCATTCCTCTGTTGGATGTGAGGTTGATGAAGATCTTTTTCCATTCTGTAGGCTGCTGCTTTGTCCTATTGACAGTGAACTTTGCCTTACAGAAACTTTTCAGTTTCATAAGGTCCCATTTATTAAGGAGCACATATATTTTTAAGTACAGAAAATTAACCAGTGATGTGCATGTACATGCATGTGCGCGCGCGCACACACACACACACACACACACACACACACACACACACGCACGCACGCACGCACGCATGCACGCACGCACGCACACACACACACACATACAATTAAAAATAAAATCTTTCAAAAAATGATCAATTAATAAAGTTAACTGTTCTTCATTTAGAAACATCCAGCTTAAGGCTCATCACTTCTGATGAAACAGTACTTTGTGGGTTTCACTGCTATTACTGACAGACACCTAAAGAGAACATGTGACCTCCTTAAACTGGGGACACACATTGGAGCACTGTTCTCTAGAAAACCCTTAGTTTAGCTTATATGGAAAACTCTAGGTTGCATAGTGATATGTGACTGTAGATGCTAAGGACTTATCTGTGGGGCACAAAAGGGCATCCAGGTGACTCCTTGTATGTGACACACACTGTCAATTATAACTTACACTGGCAAAGTCACAAGGAAAGAGGTCATTTTTACTGGGTAATCAAGAATGGCTTCCTGGAGGAGAGGAACTATTTGAAATATATCTTTCAGGGTATGGATGGGTTTCTTAGTACTGAGAAAGAGATAAATATGGCCAGATGTAGTATGGCAGGTCATGAACTACAAAGTATTCTAGGGACTGAAGTTTGTCTAGGCCCACACTAACCTTCATGTACTTACATGATTGGGAGGACTGATGCCATAGGTGAGAACTTTTGCTAGAGAATAATAAAATTAACACAGTGGCTTAGGAAGACGACGATGTATGCAGTGAAATCCAGTGTACTTGGAAGAGGCTATTGCTATGGTGAAGGCTCTAACTACAGCATACTTAAGTACACTAGCTGTGTTTGCATTGCTGTGAACAAAGTATGTAAGAGAAACAGCAAGCTTATCTCCAGCTATTGTTTACAGGGTTCAATCCAGAATGGTGGGGAACAAGTGACAGATCTTCCCTTCTTGTTGCATCCGAGAGAGTAGAGAATATCTAGAAAGATGGGCCAGGCTCAGTCCTTCAAAGGCCCGGTTCTACTGGCTTACTTCTCTCAGTGGGTCCCCGTCTCAAGGCATCACAATCCCCTAAAATAATGCCACCAGACTAAAGCCAGGTGTTCAAAATGTGAGTCTGTGGGAATGTTTGAGACTCAGACCCATGACAGGAATGAAAGGAGGGAGACACATATGAGTGACAATGGCAGGTCTTGAAAAGCCAACCAGAGTCTACCCTGAGCTTGGATGAAGGTGCAGTGTTGCTGTTGCCCTGCCCTCATGGGAATGCCGTTCTGAAGAGATCAATGAGAATCAACCAATTATACAAATAAATGGAGAAAACAGCTTTCCAAGCACAGTGCTGGGCTGTGTGCGAGCAGCCTGGGCCTGGCGTGGCCTGGAGAGTAGCACCATAGATGACTGATGTGGGCATGGATGTGATTTGGGGAGACAGTAGACTCTTTGGCCCTAAGCGACCTCCTCACCCGAACTCTAATGACTTTGGATGGTACTTTGGGACCATTTCCATCTTTGGATCAATGCCCACTTCCTTTTTGACTCAGAGAGGAATGATGCTCTGCTCACCACAGGGGCTCCACTGCCCTCTCTGAACTCAGCTTGAGTCCTGGTAGCTACCACTCCTCTGTGTCTGACCTTCCATGCTCCATAGCAGCTTTTCTAAGAATTTTCTCTGTCCCCAGGACCCTGCTCACTGCTTGGCATGCAACATGATAGTTCCTGGCATTTGCGCATCTAAATGTCCTCCCCCCCCATCAGCGTGGAGGATCCTATGTTGCATGTGACCCTTCTACTCCCAGCCCCTGCACCATCCCCTATCTGTGGCAAGGACAGAGGGAAGTCAGTCCTTTCCAAGGCTCATGGCACAGATTCTGTGGGATTTGAGACTATAAATGACCAGAGTAATCAGGTAGGTAAGTATGGTCCGAGTTTATTCCCTATTGCAGGAGGACCCAAGGTGTCCCCTGTCCTCCATTCACACTTCCTGCTTCCTCCTACACCTGTGCTCCCCCCCCACCCCATCAGACAGCATGTGAACAATAGCATGAAGTAGCCAGCTGAGCAAGGGCTTGATG